GTCGAATGCTTGCCCGGCTCACTTATTGCTTTTGCTATGCAGATGAGTTGATCATTGTGCCGCCTGGTGAAAAATCAGCCGAGCTGGAGGGAAGGAATGTGTTACAAGTCAGGGAATTTGATGACCCAAAGTATTATCCCTTCACCAGAGAATCTATACTTGAAAAGAGGCTGGCTATGTTCAAGTCACACACAATAGAGTCACTGTTGGCAAAGGACTTCACGTATCTTGGCAAAGCTCGTAAGATGGCATGGCTGAAGCTGCCTTCTCCATCTGGTTATGTGAATGGTCAGGTATTGGCGTACATGGATGAGTCTGAGGAGGTTGGTTCCCTCATAGCATTTGGGGAAGATGGTCGAATGGTCTCCAGAAATGTTAGGGACAAACTCGAGGATGAAGATATTTCTTCAGTCTTCAATGACACCCTTCGCCAGGAGATACTTGCTGATCTGGCTGATTTGGAAACTAATTATATGTTGTACTGATAGTACTTTTAATTACTCGCTAGTTTTAGTCTTTATTTATTCAATTACGGAATATTTGAGTGCTTTGTGTTATTATTTTTGTCTTTATTTAATTGCTGATCATTAGGAGTGTTATTATTGTTCGGACATTGTCATTGTAATCTTAATCTACTACTTCTACAATTTTAGTTGTGGTCAGGGGCTCATTGATTGGTCCAGACCCAGTTCGATCTGGAACCTGGTTAAACTCGTACTTGACCGGTCTAAACCGTTCCAATTTTGGTCCGTTTTGTGGTCCTTAAATTATTCTTATTCAGATTTTGGTCTAGTCCAAACCGGGTGGAATGGTGGACAAGGTGGGTGTAAGTTTTTTTTTTAACTTTTTTTTATTATAGTATCTCTGAGGAAGGTGCAAGTTTATTTTAGTGAAATTTGCACTAAATAATACTAATCCATATGTCCTTTTTGAATGTCGTATGTAAAAAATTTTTATTCCCTACATAGTACTTGAATGATGTCTACTGGTGAGAATAATGCCTAGCAATGGTGTGTATTTTGTTTGAACAATGTCCAGTCGTGCTGGACATTTACTTGAAGAATGAGCAGTAGACATTGAACAGTGGTACTACATTGGAAAATAAAAACATTTAATACTACATTGAAAAAATCACTAGCTTTAGTACTATTTTGGTAAATTTTTCTTTATTTTAATGATGTGGCATGTGGCCTATGGCCTTGCCGCCTTGGCCTTTTATTCTCCTTCCAAGCTATGATTTCAATTAGACTTGTACGGATTAATTATTGACTAAAGAATCATAAAATGTTTTGACGAAGGAAATGATAAAAATACTTAAAAATAAGTTAATAAAATATAATCCTAAAGAAAGAGAAAAATACGTTTATAAACAATATCGATGTGAAGTGGTGTAAGTTTTAAAAAAATTCTTTATAAACTACATTTATAATTTGGTTCGACACTGCAAGGTCTTCATTGGAAATCAAGATTTTTAATTTAACCTTTTGCGATTTACGATCTTTAATTTAATCATTTGTGATTTAAGTGAGCATGACTGAATAATGATTTGTGACTAACAATCCAACATGAAACAAAGATTACTCTTAACTTTTGCTAATCGTTATTGCATATGAAGTCATAATTGAGAATAATTTCCTTTTGGAACTTAAAAAATTCTTGTATCTGACGGTGTAAGCGACAACTGCGGGATAACAACTTTTTAACTAATATTTTTCCCTGTGTGTTGCATGGAAAGAAAATTTATTTTATTATGATATGCAATATTTAACAATCGATTAGATTTCGTTGACACTGAAAATGAGTGCCAAAAGATGACATTGACTCTAAATTGACTTTAAAGGCAATAAAACCTTGAGTATGAAATTGAAGAGGTTAGGGCATTGGGTTCGAGTTGGCCTGGGGTAGGGGGCTTATTGAAGGTAGGAACCATTAATCTTACAAATGGAACATCATAGATGTTCGAAATCAGAAGCGGTACCACATTGTCAACGGTACGCAATGTCACTAGAACTGTGCTTTTTGAGAGTGAAAGACTAATACAAATAAAGTACCATTAACGTAGAGTTAATAATAAATAAAAATGCATGCTATTTTTGATTACTGAGTGTACGTGCACGGATGCGAATTGTTATTGAGTTTTATACTTTTATTAACTATCATTATGTGAAAAAATGTACATACACATATATATGATGTTCTATATAATATAAGAATTTACCTTAAAAAACTTACGCGATGTTCTTTGAGATTCTAGATATTAAATTATAAGGTAACATTTTCTAACAATTTCAAATTTGTTTCGATTCAGTCTTTTTGAATGTGAAATATTATTTTGAAAACGAAGAAAGTTTATTTATGTGAAAAAAAGTGAGTCACAAAACTATTACTCTTCTCATATTTCTCACAAAACTATGATTCGAAAGAGAAATAGTGTGAGATAAAATTTAAAAAATGAAATATAATTTTCGTTGCTAAAAATATGAAATTTTAAAGAATAATATTTTTATAAATACTTCAATTTTCAAACTCTTTTAATTTTCTTCAAGTTTTCTAATTTTTTCAAGTTCTTTCTAAAATTTTAAAAAATTAATGTTTTACAAAAAAACATCCGAACATACAATTTTCAATTCATGTGAAGTATGGAAAGGAAATTATTAAACCACATACCACTTGCCACACATTTTTACTATTTAATTTCTCAGCAAATTGTACAAAAAATATTTAAATTGAGGTATTATGTATGAGTATTAGGCCCTGAGTAGGTGCTGTAACACCTTCTGCACCATTTGCTTCTCTATCTGTGCGTGTGCTAAAAAAGGTGTTATAACACACTCTCTATCATTTGTTAGTGCCATTTGTTAGTGTGACAGTACTGCAATATCTTTTCTGCAGCATAATTGATTGATTTGTTTGCATACCTTTCAATTGGTGATTTCTGCTGCACCCCCACGAACTTTCACCTACTTCTTAGCTCCAAGTATGGTCTATTAAGCATGTCCAATGATTTTGAAAGACCCTATGCAATTTAGAAATATTGGCCCTAAAGTCATGAAATTAAGAACAATGATATAAGATATTTATAAAAATTTAGTCCATTTTTAAGAACAAATTGACACAACATATTAGTTTTTTCAATTAAATAAAACTGGAATAAGAAGAACTTCTCCTCTGGCTTGAGTGGTAGCAACTCATTCCCCAAAATTAATGGGAAAGTTCAATCAGGTTCGAACACCAATGGAAGCAGAAGCATCGGCTTTTTGTGCATCTTTAGATTGAGAATATTAAGAACAAATACTACCTTATAATAGAGTCAATAACATTAAAAAAACTGAAATAAGTAACTTATGGACGAAAGATAACCATTTTTTTCGATCAAAATATGTAAACTTTGACTTCAAATTAAATAAAAATAATATTAAATATTGATACAAAAATAGTTTTATTAGATGTATTATACCAAATATGTTTAAAATATTTTTTATGTAATTAATATACAATATACTATTTTATTTAATTATAGGTCAAAGATTAAAAATAATTGACCCAAAAAGTCAATACTGGACAAATATTCAGGGATGGAGTAGTATATTTTTCTTACTCATATTTCACTTCTCCACGTGTACCTAGCCTAACCATTGTCCACCATCATAGCTCATTTGGGTAGGGGTGAGCAGATTAACCAAACCGACTAGAAAACCGTTGACCGAAGACCAAAATAATCAAAACTTCGATTTGAATTTGGGTTGCGATTAATCAATCTTAAAATTTCCGTTGATTCGGTTAATTCAGTCGGGTCTCGATTTGAAGCTTTGGTTTATTTGATTAACCCAAAAACCGAGCCTAATATGTTTAATTATTTATAGCTTATAAGAACCATTGGCCAGTAATTAAATTATCTGCCCAATCTATAAGCCCAAATCGTCATTCACTCCTCATACTCTAATTCCCAAAGACCCAAACCGGAAACCCTTCTTTGGGAATGACGTAAATGACGATTTGGGCTTATAGATTGGCCCGTAATTAAATTATCATCCCAATCTATAAGCCCAAATCATCATTCACTCCTCATACTTCAATTCCAAAGACCCAAACTGGAAACCCTTCTTCGACTCTGCTACTTCCGTTAGCTGAGTCTGCTATTGCCGCGATGATAGAGTTTGCCATTGCCGAGTAGATTCTTGATTTTTTGTTGTGGTCCTTCACCTCTTCTTCGCCGAGTAATAGTGTGAGAGTGTGAGTTATCAGGTATGTATCCTCATTCCAATGCACTTCTTTAATCCATTTTATCATGTAATTTGTATATTAAAAAATTATAAAAATTATATATTAATAATCTATGTGTTAAGACGAATCAAACAAGATCACACATGACTATTTTCAGGCTTACACATTGAGAGAATTTGATGAGTCAAAGTGCTTAGATGAACAGTTCCAAAAGTCAAAAGTTGACAAACACTCAGGGACGGACCAAGTATTAAAGTTTATAAATTACAAAAAAAAAATTTAAATATAAGAGGACTAAATTAAAGCTTCTCTTAAAATAGAAGTGTAAGTCTTAAGAGTTAAGAGGTGTGCGCTCTGATAAGAGGTGTAGTTGCAGCTGTATGTCTTCACTTTCTTTCATTCTGTCTTGTGCCATTCGGAATGTTTTTGCCAAACAATTCTCCATATCAAGCATTGTTATTAGGCCTGAGAGAATGGTCTCATCGAGCTTGGAGTTCGGTTTGTCCTTCGTAAGTGACTTTATCCTAAAAGACATTTCCGCAGTTATGTTATCATACATATATAGCTGGAGGAACTTCCGGGGTTTCCCTGGTTGGGGATGAAGTGAACCAATGTGATGGCTGTTTTGGCCGCTGATTCTAAAGACGTATGGTCCTTTAGTTTTATTGATTTCGTAATCTATTTGCGCCCCCCTATTGATGTGAAGGCAAGAATTGAGTTATATGGCCGTATGCTTTCACGGAAGGTAGCTGAACGTTTTCCTCCATTGTGGCTAAGAAGGTCTCTTAGATACTCAGGTGCATTTTTCAATGCGGAGAGGGAAACCCGGCCTTCTATGCAACACAAAGAGAAAGTGGGTGGTGAGTTCTTTGCGTTGCTGTTGTTGCGTTCTTCTGTCCACATTATAGCATGGCAGTATTGGCACTTCTCATGAGGATAGCCTAGATTCAGATAGTCCAAATTTTGGCCTGCAATTATTAAGTCCATAAATAGAGCGTCAGTTTTGGAAGGGTTATATGGTGTACATAATAAAATAGGTGTATGGTAGCATGTGACATGTAGGGAGTAAACTACAATGGAATTTTTCTTGCATATTTTTAAGGTGCAATGGGACATGTAGGGAGTAAACTAACACGCTAAGAGTATGTTTGATTTAGGGAATTCGGTACGAAAATAAAAGGGAATGGGTTTCTTTCATTTCCCTCACCCAAATGGCAGGGATTTGGTCTCATGTTAATTTATTTCCTTTTCAAATTCCTTAAAGCAAACATAGTATAAGTGATCCAGGGGAAAAAGGGATTGAGTGAGAGAGAGTATAGATTGAAGCAGGGAATCCTTAATAAGTGCCAAACTTAACACTGATTGAACAATTAATTAGAACACAAAAGCAATGAAACATTCATCCAGGTTTTCATGAACATTTAAATTATAGGATACTCATGTATAAAGATAAGTAAAATTTCTACATTCAAATCATATGTTGTAAATTCAAACATCTTTATCCTTTTAGCCAACTAATTCAGTCAAGAGGTAGGTATACTGATCATGCCGAATAGAAATGTGGCACATAAGGCTGCCAAACAGGTCTAAAATAAATTTGGCACATACGGTTGTTTATGTAGGCACATGTATTCTCCTATTCTTGTTTTATCTTTTAGGAGGGAGAGGGACTGCTACTAAAACAAGTAGGAAGTAATACTAAACAATTGGAAAACCCCTTAAACATACCTCTGGAATTTTCTCAGTTTCCTCTATAAGGGCAGTCCAAGCACCGGAATCTAGAGAATTTGCTCTCACAATGTTCCATAATCATTCTTCTTCGGGAGATAATGCTAACAGATTTGGAAAAGCATTTAGATTTCAAGAATTCAGTAACATAATATGGAAAAGAAATTTAGATGAAGCCAGATGGTAAAAAAGGAACATGAACATCTCATCCATTTTAAAGAATAAAACTTCCAAAGTGAAAGAACCATAAAACAAAACAATGACCATCTACTGCTCCAAAGCAAAATCCAATGTTCTGTTTTTTTATAAAAAGAAAACGCGAAAAGCATAAAATTAACAATCATGAGCGATCGGTATGCCCCCACAAAATGCAATTTAATTCTTCAAGTTACACCATATATATGGTCTACATTTGAATTGTAACACAGTCTACACACAGAAAATCACACAGTAGTATTTATGATTGATATGGCTAGTTAATACTTCATCCATCCCTATTTAATCTTCCCATTCCGGATTATGACATTTTACTAAAGTTTTTCTCAATTCAATTTATGCAAATATTGGAATAAAAATAAAAAATAAAGTTTCTTTTTTTAAATACTACATCAAAAGTTCCACAAAAAAAGATGACATGACTGTTATTTTACCAAAATGGTCAATGAAAATATACGTAAAAAAGTAAGATATAGCTTGAGTGTGTGAACAGTAAAGGGGATCATTTAAAGGGAATAAGGGAGTAATTAAATTTTGCATGTTCACCACATAGATAATCCCAGAATATATTTGGTTAACACAACATGCTCCCTGATTCCTAACATACCAGAATCATCCACCACCGACTGATGCATTGTGGCAGAATTATGATTACAAACTTCGTATTGGACTTGAGTGGGGTGTATTCTTAAGCTTAGGTTTAATGAAATCCACCTTGTTACGATCATCTAAATACGTTTTTCCGCGTATTAGAAAAGTGGATGGATCTGTTTCACTCCAACTGCAAGGCAAATTACAACTTTTCTTATTCTCACTTCTTTTATTCAAACTGTCAGGTGTTGAGTATGTTCTGGGAAAAGTCCTATGAAACTAACCTGCAATAACATGCAGTTTCTTCACCAAAACAAAAGCAGGTGACACTTTTGTATGCCGTGTATTCTGGAAGAAAGAAATCAGCAAACAATTAAATTCTTGAACTTCAAGAAGAAAAAACATCTTCAGGAAGAGTTGAGGCTAGTAAACGGGCATTAACATCATACAGATCAGCAAACAATCAAATTGTTAACTTCATGGATGAGTTTTTTTATACTGAAAGTCTGAAATTATATAAAATGACATATTGACATCCTCTCTTTTCATCCATAACTTGAGCAAAATCAGCCTTCCTATGCCTTACCAAAAGGGCTCTTAGATTACATAACAATTGAGGGACGTCGAAACAATAGAAATCTTAGCAGGTAATGGAAGAGCAAGACTCAACCTGTATGAAGTCATGACCTCAGAATCCCTTAAAAGTCTTTGGCGGCGTAAAACATCCACAATGAGGAAATAGAAGATCTGCCAGAGAGTGTATATGTTATCAAGGGTACGAAAAACAGCCATGTCCAAAGGTAGGATTTGCTTTCTGCATAAGGCCATGAGGCTCTGCGGTCGTTCCCTTCAGGGTGCATGGCTCCTAAATAAACAGGATCCCACCATCGAATCGTAAAGAAAACCAATCTTGAAAATCAAGTAAAACATTAGAGCACGTAGATTAGCTCATAGCATATTGTATCTATTACTATAAGCAGGGGCTTATCTAGAATTCTAGACACTGTTTTCAAAGAGGCATGATATCCATCAGATGTTATTGATAAGTCTTGTTGACAAAAACTTTAAAAATAATTTTACATGAAAATAGAGACATCCATGTCAAATTTGACAAATGTTTTAGATGAATTTAAAATTTGACTAAAAAATGTGATGGTACCCCTATAGCTCGAGGCCACATGTAAAAATAATAATTTGACATTATTAACAAGTCTTTTTGACATGACACTTTTACAAAGCATTTTTTATGCGAATAGAAACATCCATGTCAAATTTTGCTAGTTTTTGGATTGATGTTACCCCTAGAGTTCGAGGCCAAAAGTAAAAAAATTATAATTTAGACATTATCTTTTTGGCATGGAACTTTTAGAAAGGATTTTACATGCAAATAGAAAATCCATGTCAAATTTGGAAAATTTTTTGATGAATTTAAAATTTGGGCAAAACATGTGATGGTACCCTAGTGCTCAACGCAACAACAACAACAACAACAACTCAGTTGAATCCCACTACATTAGGGTCTGGGGAGGGTGTGTGTACGCAGACCTTGCCCCTACTTGGAATTAGGGAGGCTGTTTCCAAGAGACCCCCGGCTCAAACTGCACAAAAAATATGATAAGAATCACAGTATAACACAGATCACTGTGATTCTTATCATATTTGTTGTTTATGTGATTCAAATAATATGAGGTATAGTTTTGAAGGGATATAAACTAATAATACAGCAGCTTCCTAAATCTTCTTACATAATGAAAATAATAAATTAAAGAAGTAAATTAAATAAATGATTCTCACAAATTTATTCAAATACTAATAGATACTAAGAAGGCCCTTAACGTAATAATTTACCTTAAACTAAATCTTGTTGATAAGGTCTCGTGTGTCCACATAACTCTGCTTTGGAAACATCATCTCGCATGTGATCAACAAAAGACGTGTATGCCTTGATTATTGACTCGTAAACACCAACGCCTTTCAAATATTCATCTTTGTTCAGAAACTGTGGAATTATGAATACAATACAAATTACTATTGAGGGTATATAAAAACCTGCAAGAAATTAAAAACAGTACTAGTATATACATATGCCGCAGTATATATGTACAAACACGGGCCCCATTTCTATATATATATAATGATTTATTTTTTAAAATAATTGTATAACCTTGTGCATAACTCCACAAGTCATTATAACGTCTAGTTTACAAAACATTTTTTTCAAACTGCTAATACATCTATTTGTCAAAGTATGGTTCATATTATAAGTTGCAAATCAAATGAAATAGAAGTATATTATAAAAGGTGTTACTTACAAAAGAAACCATATTAACAATAAAACAATGGGTGTGCCTCAAAAGTCAAAATAGATCTTATTAACCAAGAGTCCACGAGTGTAGTTTATAGAAACAAAAGTGCTAACCTCATTGTGGTCGTGAAGGAGAACCGGAGTGTTTGCCATGGGAGAAAAGCCAATAGCTGTAAGGCCTCTCTCTCTCTCTAAAGTAACGTGCATCTGTCGAGGCAGGAAATATTTCTGGTTTCCCGAGTTTCTCTTTCGCAACCTTGATAGCTTCCTCTAATAACGTCCACCAAATATTAGAACTGTCTGTAGCTGTAAGTGCAGGTTTCCCAAATTTATCGTGTATGGATACTTTCACCTTGAACTGGTCAAGTTGCAACAATGATAAGAACGATTGGAAATTTTGAAAGCATATGTGTGGTGTGCCAAATATACATGTCTTTTCACTAAAGCTAATGGATGAAATGGTTTTCATTAGCATTGGAAATTTGAGAAACTCTCCCACGTAATGTTACAAAAATTATGGCTCTTATGTCCAAGTGTTATTATCTTTTCTGTGTAGATTTTATATTCCAAAAAACACTTGACACTCTAGTACTTAAACTTCTATTACTCCGTATAAAGTATAATTTTCTACCCTGGTCGAATTCCATATAATATATCACCTCTATCCCAAAGCATAAATAAATAATCCTTCTATCGAAGTTGGTTCTTCCCATGGCGAAGAGCGATGCAGCTTCTACCGAGTGAGAGTAGATCTCAGGTCCGTTTGAGAATAGTATTTTCGATTAGCGGTAGGGAATTTACCTATATAGTACTAAAACATAGTAAGTTTCCAATGTAATACCATATGTATTAATTTCTCAATTTAGTACCACTGTATTCAATGTCCACTGGATATCGTTCAAGTAAATATCCACCGCCACTGAACATTTTTAAAAGTAAATGTCCACCGTCAGTTGACATTGTTCTCGCCACTAGACGTTGTTCAAATACTATTTAGGAAATAAAAAGTTTAGATACTACATTGGGGAAAAACATTTGTTTTAGTACTATTTAGTGCAAATTTCACTTGGTGGGTTGGAATGTTTTCTAGGTTTTTCTTTGAGATGATTGTGGGGTTTACAGTTTACAATTGAGCTCCAGGTTAAAAAAAATACGGAAGCTACGAGTGAAGGGCGAGTATGGTAGCGGCGGCAAGAGGTTCAAGAGAATGAAGAGGAAATAGTTGGACTGGAAAGGAAATAAATTGGTGTACTTTTAAGGGCAAAAATATCTATTTCATTTTATTTATATTTTTGGAAACGAGAAGAAATATATGGGACGGCCCAAAAGAAAAACGGGGAAAAACATATGAAGTGATGGGAATATTAAATTGCCATAAAAAATGCTATTTCATTTTATTTATATTTCATTATAAGTTATATATTTTGTACTTGTTTTAGGTGACAGACACATATATGGCTTCAGATACCTCAAAGGTCATGTTGCGTGAAGCAGGTGCCCATTCCTCAGCAATTTGCCTCTCCAATGAGGCCTGATCAGCAGTCGGTGGAACTCGAACATCAAAGCCTGCTTCGGCTTCAGATGGCTGCAAGTTCATGACAAAGCCCTGTGAAAATGGAAAGGAAATCATATAAATTACAGTAGCCATCAATGTAAGATGCAAATCAGGTCAGTCCACTTTGACATAAGATGATCATCCCAAAAAAAAAAAAAAACAAACAAGAGACAGAGCTCTCCATGAGGGGAATAAAATACTACTCCGTAGTAGAAAACGCAACAGTGTGGCATCATAACTGGAGAACAACTGCATAGGCAAACTGAATACACTTGGCCCCATTGGAGTGATTAATTATACACCCCGCAGTACTCTGCAGAAAGAGGTTATGAACCAGATCTACATGGATCCATCCCATAAATAATAAAAAATCAGGGACTTTTACATTGGGGGAAGGGGTGCCAGCTCTCAGGAACACCATATTGACAGAGATGACCTCTCCTTCAGCCTTCAGGCCAGCCTTGACCAAGTCGAACTGAGCAGCTCTGAACCTCCTTATGCTTTCGATGCTCTTAAAAAGATTCTCCATAGAAGTATTGTCATAGAGCTTGGCACCGTGTCCGGGGGCCCCAACTGCCTTGATAACCAGCCACCAAGGGGACCTCTCACCGTAGAAGCCCCTCGCATAGATGTTGCCTGTGGCGTGATCGAGTTGGGCGCCAAAGGGAGGATGAGGCCACTTGTGAGGCTCGGAAGGGACGACGTCGGTGTGGGAATTTAGAAGGACAGAGGGTGAAACTCTTTTTAATCCTCACTTCTTTCTTCTTCAATACACAAATGCAGTAGACCCATAGGACTTGAGGTAATTTACGATGAAGGATATGCGTATTGAAAGGTACGAAGTTTCTGCTTTTCTTCGATATTTAGGTATTGCAACATCTTCCATCTTATGCATCTTTGCCTTTGTGATTTGTTTCTGTGGGTTTTGATGAGATTTGGGTCGTCCCTCTTTTGCCTTTTACACAGTGTCCCATTTGAACTCAATTTGCTGTTGTGCACAATAATTGAACTCAATCTGCTCTTCATCGATCACTAATGGCTCAAAACAGGAATGTAATTGTTTACAATGTCTACGTATTAGGGTCCGTTTGGTACACAGAATTGATGGAATTGGAATTAAAGTTTAATGGGATTCAAATTCTATAGAATTGAATTCAATAATACCAGTTCATTTTTTGCACTACCAATTCCAAATCAACATATTTTTTGTGCTACCAAACACGAGAATTAGAATTGAAGTCATCAATTCCAATTCCATAGTTTGAATTCCGTATACCAAACGGGGCCTTAGTTTGTTCAAGTAATTTGATGAGTATCTGTTTACATTTAGTTAAATTTGCTTAGTAATTATTTACATTTTGACAAAGTGAATGTGTTTACGTTTTGACCAGTTAGCTAATTAATTGCTTGCTTTTCCTCTATCGGGCTGCTCTTCTTGACTACTTAGTTCAAACTTGTGTTATTTTATGCTTCAAATTTGTGTATGTTCAAAAGGTTTTTATTTTTTTATTTTGTGGTTGTGATTATTAGATTCATATCCGTGCGTTGCACGGCAAATAATTTATTCCAAATTATTAAAATGATATTTTCATGAAATAAATATCTAAATCTAAATTTAAATATAGGATTAACATAGATTAGTAGCGAATTATATGAAATGATTTGACACACAATCACAATATTTGAAAGAGTTGCATTTTAAATTTTACTTTTTGTAACGGTATAACATGTTTGAGCAAGAAAGCTTGATGTAGCTTTTAAAAAGGTATAATCACATTTCGGTGAAAAATCGGCATAAAGGCATCATATATATGACATACTTCCTCCGTCTAATAAAGTGTTACCCATTTTGACTAAAGTTAAAATTAAGGGAGGGATAATTTTGTGTTGACTTTCTAAAAATACCCTTGATGTGATGGGTAAAAGTAGGATGTGATGTGTACATTATTAGAAAAAAAGTATGATGTGATAGGTAGGATTTGAAAAAGTAAGGGGTAAAAGTAGTTTTTTAATAGAAATAGGTAAGGGATTGTGGGACGCAATTTTTTTGAAATATGTAAATCTTTTTGGGACGGATGGAGTATATGAAAGTGTTCAATTGATTAAAATTTATTTACAATAATAACTTGTACTGAGTAATATTTTAATTTGAAAACATAAAATCTTACCCTCATCTTTATAACATTTTAGAGAAAAAACATCTACTTCATAACATGGTTTTCACCTATATATGAGTTGCCCATATAAATACTCTAGCATAATTTTTGTAATACATTAAAAAAAGCACTCATAACTCACATTCTACGTTTACCCATCACATCAAAGATATTTTTGGAAAGTCAACACAAAAATATTCCTCCCTTAAATTTTTTTTAAAAGTCAAAATATGAACTTTTTTGTGTCGGAAGAAGTATATATATGAGCAATTATATATGCATTGCATGTTGAGCTAACTTTAATATAGAATTGTTGGTCTCCTTGGACGAAGGGAGTATATGATGAATACTCCGTATAAAATAAAATTATATACCTAAATTTATAAATTATTGCATATCACATTAAACACAAACAATACTCCCTCCGTCCGGAAATATTCTTCCCATTTGACTTTTCACGGTCTCCAATATTGCACTTTGACCATTAATATCTATATTTATACATAGATATATTTTATAAAAATTTTATATTTGAAAACTACTTTTCAATATGAATATATTGATATTAAATTTACATCATAATATAATGTATATTTTCTACAAATCATAGTCAAAGTTTATAAACTTTGACCAAAAAAAGTCAAATGTGAAGAATATTTCCGGACGGAGGGAGTAATATATTGTTTTTTATACAAATTTCTAATATATGTATCCAGTTGATCATTTAGCTTAGTAACTTTTTAATACTTAAATTCTTTAAATATTTTGCAACATTTTCTAACTTTTACTAAGTCCTTCTAGTTTTTTCAAACTCCTTTCAATTTATTCTAATATCCAACTCTGAAATTCCAACCAAAAGAACAGAGCCTAATTTATGTATTAATGAAAATTGATTATAATTATATATATTTAATACTTTTTCCGTCTATAAAAGATTGTCACAATTTAACTTTTTTGATCAAACTATGACACATTTTAACTGTAAGTTATGAAAAAGAATAATTAGTTATAATGTAAATTTAGTGAAATTAATTCTATTGAAATTAATTATTGAAATTAATTGTTGTAAATTGTACGGAGTATTTAATTCGCAATTAAAAGGAATCACAGTTTGATCAAAAAAGTCAAATTTTGGCAATCTTTTAATATTGATGGAGTATATTTTTTATTTAATTGTATGTCAATTTTAAAAATGATGAATTACAACAAATCAAAACTAAAAAAAATCCAGACCAAGGTATGATAGAGTAATTAATAAAAATGAATCCTTGTGTTTTTTTTGATCGGGGTAATAACCCCTGCTGGAAACCACTCTTGAGAAGTGCAAAAGACATGCGCATAATTAATATTACACGTGTCTTCTCAATGTATTGATCAATGACTTCTTGGATAATAAATCGACGGCTCAGTCCTTAAAAGAGAAAAAATCGACGGCTAAAATTGCATATCTCATTGGGCGGGAAAACGCCATTTTTCTTTTTTTTTTCTTTTTTCTTTTCTTCCCTAATTCTTTTGCTTTTGTATATAGTATAGATGCAGATTGATTGGGAGTGCCTACCTATAGGTGCGGCAAAGACTAGAATTTTGTTATGGATTATATACTACTCCGTAGGATATTTGATTATATATTTATTAGTTTATTATTATTATTATTATTCTTATTAATATTATTATTATCATTATTATTATCATTATTATTGTAATTTAGATTTTATTAGGTGAGCAAAATTATAAGCTCACCCAGGTGAAAAAGGAAGGGGATATCACCCAGGTGCATGATGAAGCTAGACATTAAAAAGGCATATGATTCTGTAAGTTGGAAAGCAGTTCTGCAGATTATGGCAGCTTTGAAATTCCCTCCCATATTCATTAAAGTGGATCAATTTCTGTATTACCAGTACAGCTTATTCCATACAGTTGAATGGTGATCTATATGGTTTCTTCAAGGGAGGAAAAGGGCTAAGGCAAGGGATCCTGTATCTCCACTTTTGTTTGTGATAATCATGGATTATCTTACTAGGGTTCTGCATTACTATACTGACAATAGCTCCTTCACCTACCACCCAATGTGTAAAAGTTATAAACTTGTTAATCTGGTTTTTGCTGATGACTTAATTGTTGTGAGTAAAGCAGATGAAAAATCAGTGAACTGTATATTCAAAGCTCTGAAACATTTCTCTCTAACAACTGGTTTGCACATCAACCAAGCCAAGTCACAGATAGTAACTGGAGGAGTAAGGAAGGAAATTGAAACGAGGATATTGGAGCTCACTAATATCCCTAAGGGTGACTTTCCTTTCAGATACCTAGGTGGGCCCATAACAGCAGCCAGAATTGGACAGAGAGAGTGTGATGTGTTGGTGGAAAAGATCACTTGCAAGGTAAACTCATGGGCTACTAAACATTTATCTTATGCAGGTAGAGCTAGATTGATCAATTCTGTTCTGTATGGGGTTATCTTCTTCTGGACTAGAATCTTTATCATTCCCAATAAGGTGATGAAGAGGATCCAAGATATCTGTAGGAACTTCTTATGGAGTGCAACTGCTTCATATAAAAGAAGTCCTTTGATTAATTGGGAAGAGACTTGCCTGCCCAAAAACAAATTAAAGGTGGGATTGGATTGAAGAATCTGGTTAACTGGAATAATGCCAATGTGATGAAGCTGTTATGGGATGTAGCTAATAGGAAAGATATCTTGTGGGTCAGATGGGTCCATGGAAGATATTTGAAGCAAGAGACCGTGTGTCAGTACAACCCTAAAGGGGATGTTTGTTATTATTGGAGGGAAATGCTTAAAGTAAGAAATGACTTCACCAACATGTCTATGAATGGAGAGTACAACACTAGAGAGGGATATTCATGGCTAATGGGAAAAAAAGAGAGTGTAAAATGGGCTGACCTTGTTTGGAGCAACTGGTCTCTTCCCAAGCACCAGATCATTATGTGGTTGATATGGAAGGGAAGAATACAAACTAAAGCTAGATTGAGCAAGTTTATGCAGATAGATACTACGTGCTGCCTCTGTGGTAACAGTGAGGAATGTATTGACCACTTATTCTGCACTTGTGAATTCACTATGGAGATAATGCAGAAGGTTTCTCAATGGGCTGGAACTGACCTTACTGCTCGCAATATTAAGGAGATGGAAGACAAAATTGTGAGGGGAAGCAACAGGAAGGAGAGGAAGAGAAGAGCAGCCTTGGTGGCAGCGTGCTTCTATATAATTTGGAAGGCCAAGAACAACATAGTCCATGGAAAGAAAAGATGGAATGCAATAGATAGTGTTGAATATGTTAAATATCATGTTACTACACATGTAAAGCCTAAGTATAATTTCTAAGATTAGGGGGCTGGCAGTGTTTAGAGGATTGAGATCAGACTGTGTAATATTTGGTGGTTGATTAATATATGTGCTGTTTGTTTCAAAAAAAAATTATAAGCTTCTTCAAGGTTTCTTTACGGTTCTTTCCCTTATCGCTTTTATTGAACCGTCAGGTTAGCTTTAGGTTTCCTTCTTCCCTATATAAAGAGATGTAATCCTCTTTAGAGTTATTCAATCAATAAACAAATCAAAACCCTAATCCCTTCTCCCTCTCGGTTCGCCGATTCCCTCCTTCGCCTCAATTCTTCTTCTTCTCCTAGTCCCATATTCCCAAGAGCTCGAAGACGCTCTGAGTCTTCCGTATCCGATACGTTGTCTGTATCATTGGTGCTTTCATTGAGAGTCGACACCACAAAATCAAAACCCTAAAAAAAAGAAGCAAGAAAAGTCCAATCAGATCTGAAAGTGGTTGAACATCTGGAAGAAATTGCTTAAGGCTGGTGATTATAAACAAAAAGCAGTTGCAAAGCCTTGGTATTCAGGTTGTGATTGGGTTTTGAGGATTATAAACAAAAAGGAGTTGCCGCCACATATTCCTAAATTGCTCCCGCCGACAACCCATAAAAACCAAAAAAACCCTGCGGTTGAATTGCTATCAATCATCGGCAGATTCAAAAAATCAATCCGAACATATCAATCGCCGGCGGGTTCGAAAAGTCCCATGACCGAGCAATTTTGCACCCAACCGTTCCGGATCCGTTCGTGCGGCCGACAAAGAGATTGCTTCACCCAGTTTTGTAAAGGTACTCCCTATTTTGTTAATTTAGGAGTGCTATTTGCACCCAAAGTGGGAAAATAGGAGCTTGTTCCCTTTTCCTTGTTGCCGTGTAACAAAAAGAAAAGGGCCGATTCTGCAAAAAAAAGAGAGAGAAGTGGTTTGCTGCATTTTTTGTGTTGTCTCAAAGATTTACCTTCAATTTGAGTGCATTGGTTTTTTGGATCCGTCTTGCCACAACTATGGTTTCGATTTTGGATAAAATTATTGTGACCATGGACGATGCTTTGAACAAACTTCTTGGTGTGTTGAAGAATATCCTTTATGGAAGAGTTGAGTTTCATGACGGAGTCTGTATAGCTTATGATCATGTGGATGAAATCTTGAAGACGCTCCACTTATTTCGTCATCTTTTAGATCTACCGTATTCTGATTCTGAGTTATATGCGTTCAATGTGGAAATCTATTGCTCGATACAAGATTTGGTGCGTGGTACTCCAATGGCATTGAGTGATATTCCCTTGGAGTTAAAAAGTTTCAAAACAAAGATGATGGACGCTATAAGGAATCTTCTCGGTGTTCCCATTGCTCCACTTGATCTAGCCCCTTCAGCCACTCTACACAATCCAACATCTAAGGACATGGAATCTGTGGAGCGTACTATTCGTAATTCAGTGAGAGTTCTTGAAGTTGCTGATGATGGTGTTTCTGTTGAAGGTATTGTTAATGCCTTTCCATTAGATCTTGTAGTTGTTGAAACACCTGTAGATGCACCGGGTAAGGGGGAAGTTGCAAAGGATCAAACATTGTGCAATGCCATCATCGCATGTAGCCTTGTGCCTCCTTTCAAAACCACCCAAGTAGCAGATGTGAATTATACGCAAGCGGACATCTCATTGTCCTTTGATATCATCCAGACCTCCGACCATGCGAACAAAGTGGAGTCTGAGTATTGGGTTTCACCGCGGGCAGCTAAGTTTGTATTTGCTCTTCTCGCTTATGCCCATCGCTATACTCCAATCTGCAGGCTTAATGAAGATCTGACATCAAGTGGCCATAGTCTTTGGGTCATCATTTTCTCTCCAGGCATGAGTGGGAGCCTCCACCTTGAGGACAAGGTGGTTTTCTAAGGGGGTGAGAGTGTTATGGATTATATAGAAAGATATTTGATTATATTATTATTATTATTATTATTATTATTATTATTATTATTATTATTATTATTATTATTATTATTGTAATTTAGATTTTATTAGGTGAGCGAAATTATAAGCTCCTTCGAGGTTTCTTTACGGTTCTTTCCCTCGTCGCTTTTATTGAACCGTTAGGTTAGCTTTAGGTTTCCTTCTTCCCTATATAAAGAGATGTAATCTCCTTTAGAGTTATTCAATCAATAAACAAATCAAAACCCTAATCCCTTCTCCCTCTCGGTTCGCCGATTTCCTCCTTCGCCTCAATTCTTCTTCTTCTCCTAGTCCCATATTCCCACGAGCTCGAATACGCTCTGAGTCTTCCCTATCCGATACGTTGTCCATATCAAATCTTTTTACATCGTTGACGAAAAAAGTATAAATATTACTCATTTTTTTGACATTATAGTGTTTATTTATTTATTTTATGTAACTAATGTATATTTGTGTTAAATAGGGTACACGTAAATGTAAAAATGAGATTGGATCGATCTTGAGATATACATTTGTGCTAAGAAGATCATTCCTGAACTTCTAGATAAAATCAAGCTGGAATTGGATTGATCCGTAATTGTGCATGAAGCCTATCACAAAACAATATAATTACAAATAATTAAATACCCTTCTCCCAATTCTCTCCACCTTACACAACTACCACCCTCCCTTTCCACTCTACATAATACACCTCTACTCCAATTTAATAAAATGCCCCTACGCCCGCATGGGTAGCTCAGTTGATCAAGAACGTGAAAGCTTGGAACGATGACCAGGGATCGAATCCTGCAAGCGGCAGTGTGGGAGCTATCCAAAAATCCCATAAAGGGTGAGGAGGCTCCTTGTGCGTGGTGGGCACGGGTCTAGCGTTCTTGGCTGATTGAGTCACCATGATTTACTTCCTCCACCATTCCTGTCGGGCAAGGGGGTGGGGGCGCCTGGGTGGGCGATTCCACCTTTTGGAACGATGAATAAAATGCCCCTACGGTCTTTAGATTGCAATTTACTTTACTTGATAGCTTACCCCGTATGAAGTTCTTGGTTCTTCATTTTCTTTAGAGTAAATACCCAAAATAGTCCTTTGTAATAAGGGGTTTTCCCAAATTAGTCCTCAATAAGTTTTAATTACCTACGTGGTCCTCTATAATTGAAATTTATTTCCAAAATAGTCCTTTGTAATAAGGTATTTTCCCAAATTAGTCCTCAATAAGTTTTAATTATCTACGTGGTCCTCTATAATTGAGATTTATGTTAGCCTTGGTTTGCTAAGCCTCATGTTTTGATGTTAACAAACAATATAAGAGCTTGACGTTTGTTTAAGTGTTTCAGGTACAACAAGAATCATTAAGATTCGGTACTCAAGAATGAAGTCGAAACACCAAACTAACGTAGAATATAGGTGGAAACCGATGTAAGAATATGACTTTATATACCCATATTCACAAGCTCAAATGCACTCACAAAATATGTTTAAAACCATCCCATAAACATTTTCAAATGTCTAAAAGGTTTTAAACTCAAACACGAAGGATTACGGGAATTTTGGAAAAATCAGGACAGTGGACGGTACCCCAGACGGTAGGGTATACCGCCTACACGGTACCCCTATATCGTGAGACGGTACCCAGGTACCGTACGATAGACCGAAACGGATGGCCTCACCCGTCCTAACCAGGTGCCGCCAGAATCGAATGGAGATTTTTGTGCTACACGGTACCGAGGTACCGCCTCTCACGGTACCCCCTACCGTACGCACGGTACCATGCTACCGTGTGGACGGCACCTGCCTACCGGATCCGTTACAGCACTGTTCCTGATTGCAAAATTTGAATTAAATCAACCCTAATCACCTCTCAACGGCTAATTAACATCTTCTACTATAAATACAAGCCTAATCCTTCATATTTCTTCAAGAAACAAAGCTCTAAACATCCTCCCTTTATATTCTAAGTGTGTTTATTCTTTTATTAATTATTTTCAATATTTTAGCTATTTCAAGAGCCTTAAACTCCTGATTTTTTACACACACTTTGAGCTTGTGTTTCTAGTTATATACTCTCATATTCATAAGTTTGAATTGTATTTTTGAGAGAGTATACTTTTCTTCTACACCGGCTAAGTTTTGTTCTTCATTTTTATATTCAAACCGTTGTGTAGAACTCTTGTTTGTGTTTTTCAAACACACCTTCTTACGGTCGAGAATAGCCGTTAACTTCTCACGTTGTAACGGTTAAGGATAGCCGTATAAATCCTTGGGTAAAGGTTCAAGGATAGCCTTTGAAATCCTTGGGGGAACGGTACGAGATAGCCGTTGTAAAATCTCAGAGTGAATCCTATTGGCAAGGGTTGTTTGCCAAACTAGTGCGGTGCTTTGACGGAGTTCAAGAAACCGAGACTTAGTGGATTCAGAAATCCTTAAGGAGGAGCCTTAAGGTACTGGAGTAGGGAGTTCCCGAACCAGTATAAAATCGGTGTGCATTTATTTTACGCTTTTATTTTTGCGTTTTACTTATTGCTTCCGCATTTGCCAACACCGTTTTTATTAAACTCCGAAAAGATTTTCAAACCCCTTATTCACCCCCCCCTCTAAGGCGTGGGCACAACGACTAAACCGACTAACAATTTATTCTCAAGATGGTCCTTCGTAAATAATATTACTCAAATGAGGATTAATTGAGAGTATTTTTTATTCGCTAAATTTAGAATTAATTCTTAAAATAATCATTTATAATGAAGTACTTTCCTAAAATGGTTTTTCTAATTAAAGATGTGTATTTGATTTGAAATTTAAAAGATTTTTTTAAGTTTTAAATAATTCATTAATTAATTATAGTCAATGTATTTTTTAAATTTTACATTTTGTTGTACAGAAATGATTGTTTCGAGAATATACTTTAAATTTGGATGATCTAAATACCAAAATATATCCCAATTAATCCTCATTTGAGGACTGATTTGAAAAAAAACTTTATTACATAGAGATGAACCAAATACATTTATAAAACTTAAAAAAAATAAATTTCAAATCAAATACACATTTTTAATTCGAAAACCATTTTGGGAATGCACTTCATTGTAAATGATTATTTTAAGAATTGTTTCTAAATTTAACAGAGACTCAATTAATCTTCATTTGAGTAACATTATTTATGAAGGCCTATCTTGAAAATAAATCTCAATTATAGAGGACTGCATAGATAATTAAAACTTATTTAGGACTGATTTGGCAAAATACCTTATTACAAAGGACTATTTTAAGAATAAATCTCAATTAAAGAGGACCACGTAGGTAATTAAAACGTATTAAGAACTAATTTGGGAAAACTCCTTATTACAAAGGACTATTTTGGAAATTTACTTTTCTTTAATTCCATACTGCAGCAACATTTGACTAATCAAAGTTCGTTCGATCCCCCCCCCCCCCCCCCCCCCCCATTTGACGAATTCATAATTCTTGGTGCATTTTTTATTTCTTAGTTTCATATTTATTCCACATATATTTATTACAAAACTGTCCAATTTTTTAATTGAAATTTACACTAATTGTACTAAAACATACTCCCTCCATCCTAGGATATATTGACGAAAGTGATAAAATAAGGAAGGGAAAATTTTGTGTTGATTTTTCAAAAATACCATTGATGTGATAGGTAAAAGTAAGATGTGATGTGTAGATTATTAGAAAAAAGATATGGTGTGATAGGTAGGATGTAAGAAAGTATGGGGCAAAACTGATTTTTTAATATAAATGGAAAGAACTTTTGGAGAAACGATTCTTTTGAAACATGGAGAACTTTTTGGGACATAGGAAGTATGTCATTTTCGAATATAATACTTAAATTTTTTTATTCCCTAAAATGTACTTGAATAATGTCTACATACGGGAAGAATGTCGCGTGATGGTAGACATTTAGTTTGAACAATGTCCTGTGGCGGTAGAAATTTACTTAAACAATGACCAGCTTACAATGACCAGTGGTACTACATTGAGAATAAAAACATATGATACTACATTGAAATAGACAATATGTTCTAGTACGGAGTATCCTATATATATATATATATATATATATATATATATATATATATATATATATATATATATCCTTTATATATAATATTTGGGAGTTAAACTCCTAGAAATTCGACATGTGGCAGGCCTAATAGATTCTCCTCCATTTCCTTATTAATTCCTCCAAAAATGATTTCAGATTTCAAAGGATTTACAGAGAGGCATGTTGTATGTTTGAAGTGATCTACTAACATGATAGTTTTGATGGATTTCTCATCGGCTTTGCATGCCACAATCAAATCATCCACAAATACAATGTTAATAACTTTCAAAGATTTGCACATAGGATGATAGGTGAAATTTTCTTTGGTAGCCAAATATTGGAAAGATCTTGTAAGGTATTCCATGATAAGAACNAATCTGGAAGGGAAGTTCAGGTATAGTAGCAGTTGCTCAATAGCTTTCCAACTCACATTATCATAGGCCTTTTGGAGATCCAGTTTCATCAAACAACGTGGAGAGATGTTTTTCCTGTTATACCCTCTTGCAAATTCCTGGCAAAGGAGTACATTGTGGACTAATTCTCGCCCTTCAATGAAGGCCCCTTGGTTTAAGCTGACAATACTTGGCAGAATCTTCTTGAGCCTTCTGCAAAATATTTTAGAAATGGTCTTATACAGGACATTGCAACAGGCAATGGGCCTTAGATCAACTGGGGATTTTGGTTCCTCCTTTTTTGGTATGAAGATCAGATTGGTGGCATTGATCTGCTTAAGCGTGTCGTCTTTCTGAAAGAAACTCATAATGGCTCTAGTTGTTAACTCACCCACCTTGGACCATTGGTTCTTAAAAAAACCACTGCTATAACCATCCGGGCCTGGACTTTTGTTGTTAGGAATTTCAAATATGCAGCTCTTAAATTCTTCAGGGGTAACATGTGATATCAATATCAATTGTTGTTCAATACTTAGCTTATTGCCCAATTCCACTATGTCCTTGTTGATACTCTCTGTTTCAATGCTAGTCCCCAGCTGTTTCTTCGCATATTCAACAAGGATTTCAGCAACCTTTTCTTTCCCCTCTTTCTCAATCCCATTGGCATTAGTCAGGGAAGTGATGTGGTTTTGAAGCTTCCTTTTTTTAACCCATGCATAAAATAGCTTTGAGTTTTGATCTCCAAGAGTAATCCAATCAACTTTAGCTTGTTGGCTTTTCATAAGAAAGCTTGCCCTGAGTTTAAGATGCGGCTCCTTTTTCAAATGCTTTTCCATATCAATCATATCGTTATCTGCCCTATCCCCCTTCAGATGTTCTTGGATATCATGCAGTTTGGCCCTAGTTTCTTCAATTTGGGTTTCCAAAGAGTGGGATTTACTTTTATTCAATTTTTTCAGAGAGTGGGATTTACTTATAAATTCGTTGATACTTAAAACAACCCTTATTAAACTTGCTTCGACATTGGATAATAAGTACCTAAAAACATTTATAAATATGCCCCTGATTATTATTTTTGGAATATAATCTTATTTAATCACATATTTATTGTAACGTACTAATCAACTACTAAAGGGGATACTAAATATGAATATTATTAGTTGTAATGTACTAATCAACTACTATATAATCTTATTTAATCACATAAATATAAATATTTTTTGGAATATAATCTTATTTAATCGCAAAATTTCTCAAAAATCTTTTAACCCAATTCCTCATCGGACTATTTCATGTATATTCTCCACAAATTAATGACTATTTATGAAATATCTTATAATTGAAAACTAAATAAAGAAAACTACTCATTATTAAGTTATATTTATGAAGTTTTAAAAAAACACAAAATTATAGGACCTTAAGATGAAGATTTATTAATAAAAAATATTTTTGTTATACATTAAATTGGCCACATATACAAATTAAGTTAGATTGGGCAATCTTTAAAATTGGAGAGACCAATTAAAAAACAGAAAAGAAAAAAACGGGTTGTGCGGCTAATGTTGAAAATCATTATTATTCATGAGGACATAAACAATTTCATATTATATTTAGATGTTTATTCAGACAAATGGATTAAGGGATATGCTAGGGGTACACCAAATGTATACCCCAAATTTACACCACTCCCCTTTCTACCATTAATTTTATTTTGTTTTTATTTATTTATTTATTTATTTTTGAATTTTTCTTGCCTTTTTTGTGGTGATGGAGGGGATGGGAGATGTTTGGGATAAACTTTTGGTGTACCCCTAGCATTTTCCATGACGTTCTAACTATAGAACACATTTGTAGCAATATCAGTTTCACATAATCAGTGTGCATCTGCTCATCCAAGTAATAGTTTCATTCTTTAAGGATTTTTTTTCTTTTTGTACCATCTTTATTTGTTACTTATATTTTACTAAATGTCGAGAAATATCATTTTTTAGTGATGATTATGTACTGTAACATTCTATAGAAAAAAAATCATCATTAACAACAGATATTCTTGACCAAATCGGTATTCACTCACGGTCAACTTTATGTTGCAGTTTCACGAGTGAAAATTAAGAAAGGATTGAAAGTGTTTGTTTTAGATGACAACGATAACCCATGCAATTGCACGAAAAATATGGTTTACCCTGACGTTTTCCAAAAAATTTGGATTTAATTAATACATTTATACGTTCTTTTCAATTTTTTATATACATTAATTTAAGTTAGCATACTCTGGTCATGTCAATATTTAACATTTTATATTATATTTACATTTATTTTTTTATTATTTACTTAAAACAAAAAATTAGCAGAGTTAAAAATAACATGCGTTCGACCCCGTGCGTTGCACGGGTTAAATACTAGTTTGTTTATAATATTTCTATTAGATAGAAATGAAAGAAGGACAGGAAATACTAACATGCAAAAGGCCGAAACGTTCAAATAAGGCTCAATGTCAAATCTACGCATGTTCGGGATCAGACCTTGTTCATAGCTGTAAAACAAATGATTTTAATGATGTACTCTGTACTTATAAAAAATGTCACATTGTTAGTAAAACTGATTTTTGGAAGTACTCCGCACAACACTTACAGTGGTTGTAAGAGAAAGATAGCTTCAGGGGAAGTAACATCTACATTATCCCTTTTGTACTTGTTTGTCGATGCAATTGCATTATCACATCTTTCTTGATACCTGCTTCAATTTAGAAAGCAAAATAATGACAATTTAAACATACTGACCAGTTGAACTCCATATTGATACGGAAGGGTTAATTAAATAATTTATATTATTTAGTTAATTAGATATTTTAATAGTTTAATTTTATTTTTTTTTGAAACGAAATGCAGAATATATTAACACTCAAAAACAGATTACAATCTGGAAACAAAGTGAAGGATAGCAATCCTCAATCTCCACAGAGGCTAGACAAGAACATTACAAACAGACCCCCCCCCCCCTTTCTTCACAGCTACATTTATGCGCCCATAACCCTTTGAGATTGAAAGCTCAGTTAAAGCTTTCCTTTTTAGTATGCAGAAAGGTGCACACATGGTACTTAATTTGTTGATAAGTTTCTTCCACAGATGAGACCCTGTTTCTGAAAATGAGATGGTTTCTGGCTCTCCAGATGTAATAGACACAAGCACTAAATACAGCTATTAATTTCAGCCTTTGTCTAGCAGGGGAGATATTTTGTATCCTCTCTAGGATTTCACCCACTGAGCAGCCTCCAAACATATATTGCGTCCAATCACAAACCTTTGAATATACATCCCTAGTGTACTGGCAATTACATATGAGGTGCTGACTGTCCTCAGCCCCAGCATTGCACAGTATACAAAGAGTATCCGTAGGAGTGTATCTATTGATCCTTACTTTGGTTTGCAGCCTATCCTTGCATATGATCCATAGTAAGAATTTGTGTTTAGGGATGGTGTACTTGCTCCAAACAACCTTAGTCCAACTAGGTTCTTGCTTTTGTCCAAACAGCCAGTTGTAGCCCAGTTTAGGAGAATAAGAGGTAATGTTGCCTAGGCCCTTAAATACCTCTCTTGTGCATAGGATTTTCTTCCAGTAGAAGCATGCATCAGGTTTTTGGGGACAGTCCCAGATGTTGTACTCTTTAAGATACTTGGAATGGATCCATTTAATCCATAGTATATCTTTCTTCAATGCTATGTCCCAAACTAATTTCATAATGCAGGCCTTATTCCACAGGACTAGGTTCTTTAGACCTAACCCTCCATTCTTTTTAGGTGTACACAAATCTTCCCATGATACTAACGGGGTTTTGTAGCCACACGAAGACCCCCAAAGGAAGTTTCTGCACAGGGTTTGAATTTTGTTCATCACTTTTGTTGGTATTATGAAGAGTCTGCTCCAGAAATTCATAGTACCAAACAGAACAGAATTGATTAAGTTGGCTCTACCCGCGTAGGACAGGTGTTTAGAGGTCCAAGTATTAATTTTGGTGGTCATGCTCTCCACCAATCTGTCACATTCCTTACTACTGATCCTGGCCGATGTGATGGGGCTTCCAAGATATCTGAAGGGGAATTTACCTCTGTTCATGTTAGTCAGGCCTAATAGATTCTCCTCCATTTCCTTATTAATTCCTCCAAAAATGATTTCAGATTTCAAAGGATTTACAGAGAGGCATGTTGTATGTTTGAAGTGATCTACTAACATGATAGTTTTGATGGATTTCTCATCGGCTTTGCATGCCACAATCAAATCATCCACAAATACAATGTTAATAACTTTCAAAGATTTGCACATAGGATGATAGGTGAAATTTTCTTTGGTAGCCAAATATTGGAAAGATCTTGTAAGGTATTCCATGATAAGAACAAATAGGAGGGGGGAAATAGGGTCACCTTGTCTTAGCCCTCTTATCCCTTTAAAGAAGCCAAAATTCTGCCCCTCAAGATGTATGGAATATGNCAGTTGCTCAATAGCTTTCCAACTCACATTATCATAGGCCTTTTGGAGATCCAGTTTCATCAAACAACGTGGAGAGATGTTTTTCCTGTTATACCCTCTTGCAAATTCCTGGCAAAGGAGTACATTGTGGACTAATTCTCGCCCTTCAATGAAGGCCCCTTGGTTTAAGCTGACAATACTTGGCAGAATCTTCTTGAGCCTTCTGCAAAATATTTTAGAAATGGTCTTATACAGGACATTGCAGCAGGCAATGGGCCTTAGATCAACTGGGGATTTTGGTTCCTCCTTTTTTGGTATGAAGATCAGATTGGTGGCATTGATCTGCTTAAGCGTGTCGTCTTTCTGAAAGAAACTCATAATGGCTCTAGTTGTTAACTCACCCACCTTGGACCATTGGTTCTTAAAAAAACCACTGCTATAACCATCCGGGCCTGGACTTTTGTTGTTAGGAATTTCAAATATGCAGCTCTTAAATTCTTCAGGGGTAACATGTGATATCAATATCAATTGTTGTTCAATACTTAGCTTATTGCCCAATTCCACTATGTCCTTGTTGATACTCTCTGTTTCAATGCTAGTCCCCAGCTGTTTCTTCGCATATTCAACAAGGATTTCAGCAACCTTTTCTTTCCCCTCTTTTTCAATCCCATTGGCATTAGTCAGGGAAGTGATGTGGTTTTGAAGCTTCCTTTTTTTAACCCATGCATAAAATAGCTTTGAGTTTTGATCTCCAAGAGTAATCCAATCAACTTTAGCTTGTTGGCTTTTCATAAGAAAGCTTGCCCTGAGTTTAAGATGCGGCTCCTTTTTCAAATGCTTTTCCATATCAATCATATCGTTATCTGCCCTATCCCCCTTCAGATGTTCTTGGATATCATGCAGTTTGGCCCTAGTTTCTTCAATTTGGGTTTCCAAAGAGTGGGATTTACTTTTATTCAATTTTTTCAGAGGGTGTTTAAGTTGCTTGAGCTTCTGCACAACTTGATTCATAGGAAACCCCTCATGTGTTTGGTCCCAGACTTCAGCCACTATTGAAGAGAAGAGTGGGTCAAGTGTCCACATATCACAAAATTTGAAACTATGTGTTGATCTTGTTTGCTGGATCTGTTGGAGTAGCATGGGAGAGTGATCAGAAACCCCTGCTTCTTTAAAATAAACTTTTAGATCATACTTGGTTATCCATTCCAAGTTTCCTAAGACTCTGTCCAATTTAGAATAAATTCTCTTCCCTATCTCTTGGTTGTTAGTCCAAGTGAATTTAGGGCCTTCATAAGGAAGATCATCCAGACCACATGTAGTCATGCAATTTTGAAGGTCCATAGTCTCTTCAAGTCTGACAGGGATCCCCCCTACTCTCTCATCCGTATGTAAAACTGAGTTGAAGTCACCCAGTACACACCAAGGAATAGAATCACTAAGTCTCTGTAAAGAATCCCATAGGTCCTTTCTTTTATTCTGTTCGTTGTGTGCATAGATAAAAGTCAGAAGGAACTCCTTATTAATTATTATCACCAATAAATTTCCCTTGTAGATGTATAAGTTGATCCGTCATGTCCAATACCTTTAACTTCACTTTATTCTGATTCCAAATAACCCATATTCTTCCTAGAGGATGGGCATTATTGTTGATCACCGACATCCATCCCCCAGCTACTCTGTTTTCAATACTCTTAAAATTGATATCCCTCACTTTTGTTTCCAGAATACCAAAAATAGATATATTGTGTTTATTGATGAAGTTTTTGACTTCATGTTGTTTATTGAGGCTGTTAAATGTTCCAGCAGCCTATCATTGTAGGAATGGGCGATGTCCCTTATATGGGATTGCACTGAGGTCCTTATGTAAGATACCAATGTAATTAGATTCCTTTCCTTCCAAAGATGATCTACGTAAGGCTTTCCTTTTGTTGACCTTGGTGAAGCCTTCTACAGCCATATCATATGTCTCATCATCTTTAGATCTTTCCCCAATTTCCTCATTACAGACCACTGGTTGTTCAGCAGGTATAGGAGTTAGTGTTTCCCCTTCCCTAGTGATGTTCTCCTGGTCATCCATAACAGTTTTGGTTTTAGGTCTCCACACCATTCTTTTTGCATTGGAAGCGACCTTATTGTCTGTCTTTCTTCTGCATTTCTCAACAGTATGCCCAGTTTTGTGGCAGTGAGTACATACTGAAGGAGCCCATTCATATGTGACTGCTTGAGTGATAATCCTTCCTTCCTCATTAATAAAATTGATTTGTTCCGGAAACTCTTGATTCACTTGGAATGCAATTTGGATGCGTGCGAAAGCCCATTTCCTTCTAGAAGCAGTTGCTTTGTCCCTTTTAATAGGTTGTCCTTACATCGCCCAAATTTGATCAAGCCAGAGAGGCTCCAATATTTCAGGTCCAGATCAGGAAATTGAATCCAAATAGGCACATCTTTGAGCTCCATTAGATCAATTTTGCTGCCTGGGAACCATTCCTTAACCAAAACTGGCTTGTTATCCATGTAATAATATTTACGTTTTATAATCTCATTTCTATCCTCCTCCTTTCGAAATTTCACTATGAATTGGCTTTCCTTCAGAAATGAAATCCCCTCAATTTCATAGGAGCTCCAGATACGCGAGAGAAAACCCTTGATTACATCCAACGGGGGATTTGCTCCCAGTATACAGCATATTAACACTGAATTCCAGTAAGTACCTGGATCAACAATGTCTTCCTGAGTGAGTCGCACAATTGATTGTCCATTGATCATTTCCGTAGGAATAAACTTTAGGTCTAGGTTAAGATCTTCCTGGATCCCCACAACTTCCGCATATGTTTTCTTCCCTTCCTTGTTAAGATCCAGCTCGTTTGCTTCTGTTGGTTCAGAGATCTGTGAGACTTCCTCTGTGCTTGTGTCTGCAGGTATATCTTTCTCTGTGGTCGTAGGGCTTAATTGCTTCTCCATTCCCACGGATGAGCCTGCCGTTGGATCTCCGGTGATGGCTTTCGGCGGTCGCCCTCTCTTCCTCATCGTTAGAGAGAGAAACCCAATTTACTTTTAATAGTTTAATTAGATAAATTAATTATTGTAATTTATTTATTATTATTGAGTAAAATTATAACACTTCTTCAAAGGTTTCTTAGGAATTAGGTTTTTGCTAAGATTATCAATGAAGAATCGAATTATCTCCCAGCCCTAATATCTTCTTCCCTTCTCCTCCCCCGAATTGGCTTCTCTTCCCTTCCCTTCCCTTTTAAATCTCTACTTTTCCTTCTCTTAAACTCTTCACCTTCTTCCCCCAATTTCTCAATCTCCTCTCCTTCCTTGATATGTGATCGTATCACATATCAATGTATGTGTACACAAGGATTAGGAGTTAGGAGCAAAGAGATACTATACAACAAATAACTAGACTAAAATAAGCATAGATTAACAACGACATGCAACAACAATAACAAACTCAAGCATACACTGGGTAGAACTCTTGTCCAATGGCATGATAAGCGACCCCAAACGGAGCAGAGAAGTCTTTAGGTGGCTGTGAAGAACTACTCCCTCCAATATCCTTGTCGTCAGAGTCATCATCAGACACTAGGTCACTCATACCTAGAAAATGGTGCACATAATATCATTAATAAATGCTCCATAAGAATGACATATAATAATGCAATTTACTCCGTAAAAAGATAAGATATAAGAAATAAGCAACTCCATTTCCATGTATATAAGAAATAAGCAACTACGAAATTGCAAGCAAAAACACAGAAAATTAAACAATCTAGACATCGAAGAAAGATTATGGTGAAGATGAGATGGGCGGTGTGGATCCAACATGAGTGGGGCCGCAAGTAGAGTGGCAGTCTAGCGGCGGTGGCCAGAAGATATCAAAATTAAAATTGCTCTCACGCACATTTCATGAAGCACATGGTGTACGTGCAGTAACAAACATTAAACTTCTACTTCAATAAAATAAATTCTACTTCAGTAAAATAAATTAAAGGAGTGATTAATTCAAAAAAGGAAAGAAATTAAAGAATGGAAATTGAATTGGCAGAACTTTCACTGCGGTGGGGTGGAGGGACGGAGCAACTGTAGCCAGACAAAAATGGGAGAGCGAGCGAGTGTCAAAAAGAGAGTGTGATCTTGTTTGCTCCAAATGAGCGACGATAGTAAAAACATACCAGATCTTCTCCAGCAAGTTACTAAACTTGACCAACTTTATTTTTAATTCAATTTATTTGATTATAGGAGTAAAAATTTATAAAAAAAATCTATAGTAAAATTGAGTGGTGACAAGACTATATTGTTATACTCCATATAAAATGAATTGTAAAAATAAACACACAATAGTGTTTGGGAATATCTATGATCGACGGAGGGAGTAATTAGAGCTAGGCACAAGGTGGATAGGATCTTCGATATGATGATATCCGGTCTAATTTTTTAATTTGATACTGTATTAGATATGCACACTTTCTCACCTTACCCTTTTATTATTTTTGGTTTCTCTCCAATGCTTTCAAAAAAATTATTCTAATCTGAAAACTTTCTCTAAACAAGACAAAGTCCTTTTTTATTCTTGAGCCACCCATTGTGTTGTTGATTAAACCTTAGGGATAGATGTCTAAATTGGAAATCCTTGTTCGAAGTATAAAAAAATGTATATTAAATGCTTCCCTTGAATCATAACCCTACCATTCCAATCTAGAATAGTGAAAGATAAACATAAGCTAAGATGGGGAATGGGGATACATACCTGATACCTCACACTCTCACACTATTACTCGACGAAGAAGAGGTGAAGGACTACAACAAAAAATCAAGAATCTACTCAGCAATGGCAAACTCTATCATCGCGGCATAGCAGACTCAGCTAACGGAAGTAGCAGAGTCGAAGAAGGATTTCCAGTTGGGTCTTTGGAAATGAAGTATGAGGACGGAATGATGATTTGGGCTTATAGATTGGGATGATAATTTAATTACGGGCCAATCTATAAGCCCAAATCGTCATTTACTCCCCATACTTTAATTCCTAAAGACCCAAACCGGAAACCCTTCTCCGTCATTCCCAAAGAAGGGTTTCTGGTTTGAGTCTTTGGGAATTAGAGTATGAGGAATGAATGATGATTTGGGCTTATAGATTGGGCATATAATTTAATTACGGGCCAATGGTTCTTATAAGCTATAAATAATTAAACATATTAGGCTCGGTTTTTGGGTTAATCAAATAAACCAAAGCTTCAAACCGAGACCCGACTGAATTAACCGAATCAACAGAAATTTTAAGATTGATTAATCGCAACCCAAATTCAAACCGAAGTTTTGATTATTTTGGTCTTCGGTCAACGGTTTTCTAGTCGGTTTGGTTAATTTGCTCACCCCTACCCAAATGAGCTATGATGGTGGACAAGGGTTAGGCTAGGTACACGTGGAGATGTGAAATATGAGTAAGAAAAATATACTACTCCAACCCTGAATATTTGTCCAGTATTGACTTTTTGGGTCAATTATTTTTATTCTTTGACCTATAATTAAATAAAATAGTATATTGTATATTAATTACATAAAAAAATATTTTAAACATATTTGGTATAATACATCTAATAAAACTTCTTTTGTATCAATATTTAATATCATTTTTATTTAATTTGAAGTCAAAGTTTACATATTTTGACCGAAAAAATTGGTTATCTTTCGTCCATAAGTTACTTATTTCAGTTTTTTTAATGTTATTGACTCTATTATAAGGTAGTATTTGTTCTTAATATTCTCAATCTAAAGATGCACAAAAAGCCGATGCTTCTGCTTCCATTGGTGTTCGAACCTGATTGAACTTTCCCATTAATTTTGGGGAATGAGTTGCTACCACTCAAGCCAGAGGAGAAGTTCTTCTTATTCCAGTTTTATTTAATTGAAAAAACTAATATGTTGTGTCAATTTGTTCTTAAAAATGGACTAAATTTTTATAAATATCTTATATCATTGTTCTTAATTTCATGACTTTAGGGCCAATATTTCTAAATTGCATAGGGTCTTTCAAAATCATTGGACATGCTTAATAGACCATACTTGGAGCTATGAAGTATGTGAAAGTTCGTGAGGGTGCAGCAGAAATCACCAATTGAAAGTTATGCAAACAAATCAATCAATTATGCTGCAGAAAAGATATTGCAGTACTGTCACACTAACAAATGGCACTAACAAATGACAGAGAGTGTGTTATAACACCTTTTCCAGCACACGCACATATAGAGAAGCAAATGGTGCAGAAGGTCTTACTATACAGCACCTACTCAGGTCCTAATACTCATACATAATACCTCAATTTAAATATTTTTTGTACAATTTGCTGAGAAATTAAATAGTTAAAATGTGTGGCAAGTGGTATGTGGTTTAATAATTTCCTTTCCATACTTCACATGAATTGAAAATTGTATGTTGGGATGTTTTTTTGTAAAACATCAATTTTTTAAAATTTTAGAAAGAACTGGAAAAAATTAGAAAACTTGAAGAAAATTAAAAGAGTTTGAAAATTGAAGTATTTATAAAAATATTATTCTTCAAAATTTCATATTTTTAGCAATGAAAATTATATTTCATTTTTTAAATTTTATCTCACACTATTTCTCTTTCTAATCATAGTTTTGTGAGAAATATGAGAAGAGTAATAGTTTTGTGACTCACTTTTTTTTCACATAAATAAACTTTCTTGTCCACCATTCCACCCGGTTTGGACTAGACCAAAATCTGAATAAGAATAATTTATGGACCACAAAACGAACCGAAATTGGAATAGTTTAGACTGGTCCAGTACGAATTTAACCAGGTTCCACAACTAAAATTGTAGTAGTAGTAGTAGATTAAGATTACAATGACAATGTCCGAACAATAATAACACTCCTAATGATCAGCAATTAAATAAAGACAAAAATAATAACACAAAGCACTCAAATATTCCGTAATTGAATAAATAAAGACTAAAACAAGCGAGTAATTATAAGTACTATCAGTACACCATATAATTAGTTTCCAAATCAGCCAGAACAGCAAGTATCTCTTGGCGAAGGGTATCATTGAAGACTGAAGAAATATCTTCATCCTCGAGTTTGTCCCTAACATTTCTGGAGACCATTCGACCATCTTCCCCAAATGCTATGAGGGAACCAACCTCCTCAGACTCATCCATGTACGCCAATACCTGACCATTCACATAACCAGATGGAGAAGGCAGCTTCAGCCATGCCATCTTACGAGCTTTGCCAAGATACGTGAAGTCCTTTGCCAACAGTGACTCTATTGTGTGTGACTTGAACATAGCCNTGTCTTGTCGTCAGAGGGGCATAGCCACCAGGAGCTGATGCCACGCTTCTTCAATGCAGCTTAATATGTTCCAGGAATGAGCTGTGTTCCTCTTCAAAGGCAAGGCAGACCAGCACCATCTCAAAATCACCGCCACCGTGAGACAAACACCGTTGCTGGAACTGGTGGAAAGTGTCCATCGACGACCCATCCTTGCAGAGGTATATTCCCACAACTTTCCGGCTCAACTCTGTCACAAACATACCCACTCCTGTATCATCAAGCTTCGTGAGAGTGGTGCAGCCCAGTAGAGAGTCGAGAGAGGGACGACCGGTGCTGCATAGATGCTCAAAGTTATCACCAAGTTCTCTTCTCAAATCATCCTTCTTATGTTCCCTGTAAATTTTATCCCACTTTACCCTCAGTTCTAGGTCGGCTTTATCAAGCTCACCCAAATGTTCATCAGTGAAGGGGAAAAACTCGGAGCCATATTCATCAAACTTCCAACTAGCATCCATTACTGACTGTAAAACCAAGCCTTGGGGGTCTACAACAAGAGGCACAGCAGTATCCGATTCCAAGCGGACAGAATCGCATAAACGGTGTCGGGAGGCAACATCCCAAAAGGGGATGGCGAGGGTATCATCCAGGAAACCAGAGAAGAAGTGGTTGAAAACATCCTCCCTGTCCCAATCACGAAGCATCTTGGCAGCAACGACGATCTCAAAATTAGGATGACGAGTCCCGCAGGAGCGTGCAGCCATGATGGTCCGGCATACGGCAGCACCCTCACAAGAGTAATTAGCACGCAGAGGCACGGAGGCGCAACAGATAACGACATATTTGCCTCTGAGAGAATCAACGGGAACGCGATCCCCAAATTTATTAACCAGGTAAGGCCTCCGGCCAGAGTCAGACAGCACATCTATAACATCCAGATGCTTACCCTTGCTAACCTCTATAACTGATACATCAGGAATAGTGTGGGTGCTGAACTCTTTCTCCTTGTAAAAACCCTCCTCATCCTCCTCATCCTCCACATCCTCCTCATTTACTTCTCCTCGTAGAGGCACTTTAATGTAGTGGGAGGGGAAGGAAAGAATTTGTGCGCATCCGCAAAACATGACTCCGAAGAATCAGCATCAGCATCATTCATGTCAGTGTTTTCACACCTACCACTCTTCCTTCTCTGTCCCATGCCCCTGGAACTACACCTTCTCAAGGGCATACTGTTTATTTCAATCGAACAAACAAACAAATAAAAGCCATACCTGTGGGACTAGCATCCAACCCAATATCGTAGTAATTAGAAAGAAGTATAAGCATGTCCAGGATTACCTTAAACCTGTGGGATGAAGAACACTGCTTCTTCTTCTTTTTCTTATTCTCCTCCTCACCATTCGAAACCTGTCCAGTTTGGGGAAAACCATGGCCGCCTTCCATGATCTAACATCCATCCACCAACATACTAGTATTATTTTATAAGTAATTCAAAACTTTAAAAAAAAAACAAACAAACAAAATCGAAGCTCAAGTAGTATACAAAAAGGGAGCAATGTCAGTTTAAGAAAATCCAAGCATATACATAAATAAAGAAATAAAAGATTATTAGATCAATGACAACAACACACCTTCTTTTCCTTGTCTTTGGAGACTTAGACTTATGGCTGCTGTTGATCCTTGAGCTACACCTCCTCAACATCATCATCTTGCTCAATCAGTCAATCAATCCCACCAACATCCACTATACTTCTATACACTATATGTATATATGCAGACCAAATCAATAAAATCGAGTGGTTGAATGAATTTACACAGACACAAATTAACTCGGTTAGAAACGTGCGGTGAGGATTAGGGGTGTTCATCGGTCCGGGACGGGACGGGATTGGACCAGACCAGACCGAAGACCGAAATGAGAAAAAATAAAGACCGAAGACCGGACCTATAAGAAATCAGTCTTAGACCGGTCCGGACCGAAATTCTTTGGAACGAACCCGTAGGGACCGAAAAGACCTAACTTTTTGTAAGTTCTAAAATTTTGTATAAGCAAAATACCACAGTTGACAAAGATGCATGGAATCATAAAACTCAACAAAGATGCATCACAAAAAGTTATTTGCAGCATCCATGACAAATATGCATTACACAAAAAAGTAATTTGCACCAAAAAAATGAAACCACGGAACTTGAAGCAAACAAAAAGTAATCTGCTGCATCCATTCACAGAACTTGCAGCAAAAACACCACAAATGTAAATGCACCCAGAAAAAAAGTAATTTGCATCCATCCATTCACCAAAAAAAAGCAATTTGCAGCATCCATGATAAATTTAGAGAGCCAAGATATGGGGACTTCATTCACCAAGGACTCCATAGTCCAATTTGTAAGTAAAAACAGTGGACAGTGGACATCACTCAGTTTGTGTTCAACACAAAGGCTCATCCCATTCCCATCAAACTAAATCCATTCCAAACAAGCATGATTCCATAACTGTGGGCATGAACATACTATACTGTAGTTATGAAGCAGGTAATGGAATTGGAAATTTTACCCTTTTGAGAAGCCTCAACTCTCCACTCCAGATCTCCAGCAATTTATAACTTCCAAATTTCTCAGCAATTTCCACAATTTAGTTGCCAATCGGATAGAAAGAGAAATACAAAACCGTGCGCGTCCGGTCGATTTTAGAGGTAGAGGGAGTGGGCGACTTCGATTTCAGAGGGAGACAAGACGATGTTGTGCGAGCGAGGAAGTAGCCGACTTCGATTTCAGACGATGATGTAAAGTACTCCGTAATTGTTCTGAATTCTCAAATAATTAAAAAATAAAAACTAAAATACATACGGAGTAAATAATAAGATTGTGTATCTTGTGAACATTTTATTTTTAAATCTAGCATTACTCGTGCGAGAAGCACGATGTCGAGTGTCCACAGCCCACAGGAATACTGATTTAGGTCCCGTTCCGCTCAACTTATTTTTTTTTTATTTTTTTCTTATTCTTATTAAAACCAGATCAGATTAGATCAGATCAAATCAGATCTGATCAGATCCAATAAGATCAGATCAGATCAGGACTTATTAAAATCAGATCCCATCAAGAATTATTATTATTATTATTATTATTATTATTATTATTATTATCATCATCATCATCATCATCATCATCATTATTACAATGTCAATATAATTCTACTTCTAAAATATATTTTTATTGCTACTTGTAATTTGAGTTTCTAAACTTTTGATCTTTTATAAGAATGAGATATTTTAATAAAAATACTATCTCTTGCATATATTGATTATTAAAATTTAATTATTTTTTAATGTATATCTAAATTAAATATTTATTCTAGTGTATAATTCTAATTTTAAAAAAATAATCATCAAATAAAAATATTATTACATTATAATAGGAATGATTATTCTAATACTGTATATGATTCACTATTTTTATTTTATTAAAAAATAATCATTAAATATAAAATATTGATTATATTATAATATGAATTATCATTACAATTTTCAAACGTTATTATAAAGTTAAAATAAATTATTGATTTAAAATTTTAAATTAATCATAATTAATCGGATCAGATCAGATCCAATCAGATCCAATCAGATCAGATCTAATCAGATCAGATCAGATCCAATCAGATCAGATCAAATCAGATCAGATCCAATCAGATCAGATCAGATCCAATCAGATCAGATCAGATTAGATCAGATCAGATTAGATCAGATCCAATCAGATCAGATCAGATCAGATCAGATACGACCAGATCAGATCAGAACTTATTAGAATCAGATCTGATCAGAAAAAATAAGTTGAACGGAACGGAGCCTTACATCGATGTCCGGATTGAGAGGCTAAGATATATATATGGTATTTAGTCGGTCTATTTAGAAATTTATTCCGGTATAGACCAGACCAAACCGATACCCGAAATTAAAAATTATCCGAACCGAAGACCGACCCGATATAATATCGGTACGGGTTCGGTCTAGACCTAACGGTCCGGTTCGGTCGGGTTTTTCGGTCCAGACCAAAACATGAACACCCCTAGTTAGGATATAATATTTCCATGATTTTATTCTTGAAATAAAAGTTAAAATGCATTTACATTGCCAAATATGGTCATGCAAATTACCAAAAGTATATTCATGTGCACATGCACAGTATTACATTACCACAATGCGAACTCCTATTTCGAAAATAAAAATATAGAAGTCATATTTTGGTACTTTTATCTTTTAGTCTTGATGGTATAAATTACCTAACCAGGTAAACTATACTAGACCGGGTCTAGAATTGTTTACTTGATTCGATAAAGTGAAAAGGTAAAAACATGCAAAGTGACCAGGAGACTGTAGGATGAACCATTCGGGAGGAACAATTGAACCAAAGGTGATTTGCACCAGATTCTTCATGTTTAACCCAGAGCATCGTGAGAGGAAATTGTATGCAGTACCATGATTTCCCCAAAATTATGGTTGTATTGTAAAGTTTTTACATTAGCCAAGATTATATGATGTTGCATTCATCTACGTTGTCCTCTTGCGCAGATAGTGACAGACAAGTTTTTTGTGATTGGATTATCAAAGTCAGAGATAGACAGATTGGTCAGGTGATTGATGGAACTGTTAGCATTGTAGTTTCGTTAGAATTCTTGATTCTTGACACAAGTTATCCTATCAAAGGTATAATAGACTTCACTTATCAGAACATGAAGAATATGAAAAATTATTCTTTTTTAATAAAAGACACTATTAGAACCAACTCTCAAAGTTTTTTAAATGGTATATGAATTTTTTATATCCATTATTTTCCGTGATGAAAAGGAGTACTTGAATTTGATTATTCATGCCAAATAGTTGCAGTTGTAGCTATTGATAACGACCGGACAATTGAGCATTAAAAATCATGTTAGAAATATAGTATTAAAAATCATGTTAGAAATTTTTTTTTTTAATCTAAAATTATTGCATTGAAAAATATTTTTTGAACAGGGGAAGATCGTGTATGATCTCGTGCAGTCGTGCGTGACACGTTGTCAGAGTACTAGTGGTGAAATAGAGCTTTCCGAGAAACATATGTAGAGTATATCTATATAGAGTAAAATATTAATGCACTTGAGAAAACCTTTCTTCACTATTTTGACTTTTTGTCAATATTTTAAAACGTTGACCATATTATTAAAAATATACTCCCTCCGTCCCATTAAGATAGAGACATATTGACTAAAATGGTAAAATAAGGGAGAGATTATTTTGTGTTGATTTTCCAAAAACACCTTTGATGTGATATGTAAAAGTAAAATATACGAGTAAGTGTAGATTATTAGGAAAAATGTATAATGTGATATGTAAAGTATAAAAAATAAAAGGGTAAAAATGATTTTTTAATAGAAATGGGGAAAACTTTTGGGGACGATTTTTTTGAAACGTGAAAGACTTTTTGGGACGGAGGGAGTATTATTCTGAATGATTATATAAACTAGTTGTCTACCCCGTGCTTCGCACGGGCTGGGAATGTATGCACGTGTTTGTTCCATGGGAATTAGTTATTGCTTGTTATGCCAATTAATTTTTCTTTGGATAGTTGATTTTCCTTTGCAAATACAATTCAAGAATTAAGAAGTATAAAAGATTTTCACACAATTTAGACTTGTAATAATATCCAAAACGTAATACCATGAGTATGCTCTTTTGATGCCAATTTCACCATTTAGTTTACGTGTTTTTTTAAAAAGTAATATTAAAGTTTATAAATTACAAAAAAAAATTAAATATAAGAGGACTAAATTAAAGCTTCTCTAAAAATAGAAGTGTAAGTCTTAAGAGTTAAGAGGTGTGCGCTATGATAAGAGGTGTAGTTGCAGCTGTATGTCTTCACTTTCTTTCATTCTGTCTTGTGCCATTCGGAATGTTTTTGCCAAACAATTCTCCGTATCAAGCATTTTTATTAGGCCCGAGAGAATGGTCTCATCGAGCTTGGAGTCCAGTTTGTCCTTCGTAAGTAACTTTATCCTAAAAGACACTTCCGCAGTTATGTTATCATACATATATAGCTGGAGGAACTTCCGTGGTTTCCCTGGTTGGGGATGAAGTGAACCAATGTGATGGCTGTTTTGGCCGCTGATTCTAAAGACGTATGGTCCTTTGGTTTTATTGATTTTGTAATCTATTTGCGCCCCCTATTGATGTGAAGGCAAGAATTGAGTTATATGCCCGCATGTTTTCACGAAAGGTAGCGGAACGTTTTCCTCCATTGTGGCTAAGAAGGTCTCTAAGATACTCAAGTGCATTTTTCAATGCGGAGAGGGAAACCCAGCCTTCCATGCAACACAAAGAGAAAGTGGGTGGTGAGCTCTTTGCGTTGCTGTTGTTGCGTTCTTCTGTCCACATTATAGCATGGCAGTATTGGCACTTCTCACGAGGATAGCCTAGATTCAGATAGTCCAAATTTTTACCTGCAATTATTAAGTGCATAAATAGAGCATCAGTTTTGGAAGGGTTATATGGTGTACATAATAAAATAGGTGTATGGTAGCATGTGACATGTGGGGAGTAAACTACAATGGAATTTTTCTTGCATATTTTTAAGGTGCAATGGGACATGTAGGGAGTAAACTAACACGGTAAGAGTATGTTTGATTTAGGGAATTCGGTACGAAAATAAAAGGGAATGGGTTTCTTTCATTTCCCTCACCCAAATGGCAGGGATTTGATCTCATGTTAATTTATTTCCTTTTCAAATTCCTTAAAGCAAACATAGTATAAGTGATCCGGGGGGAAAAGGGATAGAGTGAGAGAGAGTATAGATTGAAGCAGGGAATCCTTAATAAGTGCCAAACTTAACACTGATTGAACAATTAATTAGAACACAAAAGCAATGAAACATTCATCTAGGTTTTCATGAACATTTAAATTATAGGATACTCATGTATAAAGATAAGTAAAAGTTCTACATTCAAATCATGTGTTGTAAATTCAAACATCTTTATCCTTTTAGCCAACTAATTCAGTCAAGAGGTAGGTATACTGATCATGCCGAATAGAAATGTGGCACATAAGGCTGCCAAACAGGTCTAAAATAAATTTGGCACATACGGTTGTTTATGTAGGCACATGTATTCTCCTATTCTTGTTTTATCTTTTAGGAGGGAGAGGGACTGCTACTAAAACAAGTAGGAAGTAATACTAAACAATTGGAAAACCCCTTAAACATACCTCTGGAATTTTCTCAGTTTCCTCTATAAGGGCAGTCCAAGCACCGGAATCTAGAGAATTTGCTCTCACAATGTTCCATAATCGTTCTTCTTCGGGAGATAATGCTAACAGATTTGGAAAAGCATTTAGATTTCAAGAATTCAGTAACATAATATGGAAAAGAAATTTAGATGAAGCCAGATGGTAAAAAAAGGAACATGAACATCTCATCCATTTTAAAGAATAAAACTTCCAAAGTGAAAGAACCATAAAACAAAACAATGACCATCTACTGCTCCAAAGCAAAATCCAATGTTCTGTTTTTTTATAAAAAGAAAACGCGAAAAGCATAAAATTAACAATCATGAGCAATCGGTATGCCCCCACAAAATGCAATTTAATTCTTCAAGTTACACCATATATATGGTCTACATTTGAATTGTAACACTACACACAGAAAATCACACAATAGTATTTATGATTGATATGACTAGTTAATACTTCATCCATCCCTATTTAATCTTCCCATTCCGGATTATGACATTTTACTAAAGTTTTTCTCAATTCAATTTATGCAAATATTGGAATAAAAATAAAAAATAAAGTTTCTTTTTTTAAATACTACATCAAAAGTTCCACAAAAAAAGATGACATGACTGTTATTTTACCAAATGGTCAATGAAAATATACGTAAAAAAGTAAGATATAGCTCGAGAGTGTGAACAGTAAAGGGGATCATTTAAAGGGAATAAGGGAGTAATTAAATTTTGCATGTTCACCACATAGATAATCCCAGAATATATTTGGTTAACACAACATGCTCCCTGATTCCTAACATACCAGAATCATCCACCACCGACTGATGCATTGTGGCAGAATTATGATTACAAACTTCGTATTGGACTTGAGTGGGGTGTATTCTTAAGCTTAGGTTTAATGAAATCCACCTTGTTACGATCATCTAAATACGTTTTTCCGCGTATTAGAAAAGTGGATGGATCTGTTTCACTCCAACTGCAAGGCAAATTACAACTTTTCTTATTCTCACTTCTTTTATTCAAACTGTCAGGTGTTGAGTATGTTCTGGGAAAAGTCCTATTAAACTAACCTGCAATAACATGCAGTTTCTTCACCAAAATAGAAGCAGGTGACACTTTTGTATGCCGTGTATCCTGGAAGAAAGAAATCAGCAAACAATTAAATTCTTGAACTTCAAGAAGAAAAAACATCTTCAGGAAGAGTTGAGGCTAGTAAACGGGCATTAACATCATACAGATCAGCAAACAATCAAATTGTTAACTTCATGGATGAGTTTTTTTTATACTGAAAGTCTGAAATTATATAAAATGACATATTGACATCCTCTCTTTTCATCCATAACTTGAGCAAAATCAGCCTTCCTATGCCTTACCAAAAGGGCTCTTAGATTACATAACAATTGAGGGACGTCGAAACAATAGAAATCTTAGCAGGTAATGGAAGAGCAAGACTCAACCTGTATGAAGTCATGACCTCAGAATCCCTTAAAACTCTTTGGTGGCGTAAAACATCCACAATGAGGAAATAGAAGATCTGCCAGAGAGTGTATGTTATCAAGGGTACGAAAAACAGCCATGTCCAAAGGTAGGATTTGCTTTCTGCATAAGGCCATGAGGCTCTGCGGCCGTTCCCTTCAGGGTGCATGGCTCCTAAATAAACAGGATCCCACCATCGAATCGTAAAGAAAACTAATCCTGAAAATCAAGTAAAACATTAGAGGACGTAGATTAGCTCATAGCATATTGCATCTATTACTATAAGCAGGGGCTTATCTAGAATTCTAGACACTGTTTTCAAAGAGGCATGATATAATTATATATATATATATATATATATATATATAAACTAAATTATACTAAACATAGGAAGGTTTGAAGCTGCATATATAATCATTAAGTTAAAAATATGTGTACAACTATTACATGCAAAGGTTATACTCGTATATATTTTCAACCGGAGGGGCTAGGGGTCCTCCCCCCTCCTCCACCAAAGTGCCCCTCTTACATCCGGTTTCAATTTCAGGGCCTATTTCTACTATGCAAAGAAAGAGAGCAGAACAGATGTAGATCATACGGACAAATGTTAAAATGTGTAACCATTATAGTATAAAACAAATGGAGATATCTTACCAGGCAAAAGATGTATGAAGACACTAACAATTTTATCAGCAGAACTGAAAACCAAGCTACAATGCCAAACAATTAATGCCCATGCCAGTGGACCCTGCAAAGAGAACCAAATGAGTTAATGAGGAGACATCATCAAGTTGGTAGATGGTGGATTTTTGGTTAAGAAGCCTACCTCTGCAAATGAGAAACAGACCATGAACAGCTTTTCGTTTCTAGGATAAAAGAGAATTGTGATTACAAATATTGTATTAGCATATTAACAAAAATCCTGCACCACAAGCCGGAAATGTGTTAGCTTCCTTCATCTTGCAATGACAGATAAAAGACTTCATTTTAACTTATCATGAAGTGGCAGAGGGGAGAAAATCCATGAAGTGATTACAAAATCAGAAACTTGTAGTGATCTTAGTTTTGTTTAGTTATTTTCTAAGACATTCAATTTATGTCCCATCTATCCCACTTCCCTGCCCACATGAAAGTTAATAACTGAGTAACCAAGATAAAAAATACTCAAGTGGACGGGTAGTATAATTTGGGAGCCATTTATAAGCCACTCATATATCAGCCAAGATTTGCACCATGCACTATACAAATCTTCACCCACCCATTCGTATAGGCAGTTTACCTTTTTATCCATGCATTCCCCAGAACTCTTATTAGGTTCTACTGTGTAAAGACATGTGAGGTATAGCTAAGGAGAAATTTGAAAGACTTCTACATATTAAGACTGGAAATTTGTCAGTCAATTAAGGAATGGGAAAATCAAGGAGAAAGACTGTGAGGATTTGGTAATGTATTTTGAAACGTACATTGTGGAATTCAACTACAAATCACATTTCATGTAATGCATATCTAGTGTTGCATACACCAAGAAAAATCAAAGCTCACATATCCAAGATTCCAATCATAAAAATATGAAGGAATAAAAAGTGTTGCCATAGTCACACTAAATTGAAAAAAAAAACATATCTGGACAAACAAGTGTTTTTGCTTTTATGCCCAACTATTTCAGCTTATCTGCTTGCCATTCACTAAACAAATTTAAAAAAAAAACCAATTAAGATGAATCTAAAGAAAGCATTGAAGTAGACAGTGTAGATAGGGATTACTATTTATTTAAACACACAGAGAAATCCAAGACAATAGAGATTGAGATTCCAACAACTATCATGTAATGCATATCTAGTGTTGCATATACCAAGAACTAATCAAAGCTCACATATCCAATCATAAAAATATTAGTAATAAGTACTATCAGTACACCATATAATTAGTTTCCAAATCAGCCAGATCAGCAAGTATCTCTTGGCGAAGGGTATCATTAAAGACTGAAGAAATATCTTCATCCTCGAGTTTGTCCCTAACATTTCTGGAGACCATCCGACCATCTTCCCCAAATGCTATGAGGGAACCAACCTCCTCAGACTCATCCATGTACGCCAATACCTGACCATTCACATAACCAGATGGAGAAGGCAGCTTCAGCCATGCCATCTTACGAGCTTTCCCTTCACACAACGGAAGGAAGACTACTTCACAATCTCCATGCTCGCGCTGAATGTCGGAGTAATAGTCACTCAGGAGACAGTAACTCCGCAGATCATCACCCCCAAACATGTCCAAGTAAAGGATAATTTTTTTGCCTCTAAGGTCACTCAGAGGCACACGACTGTCCCCGCGAACAAGATACGTGAAGTCCTTTGCCAACAGTGACACTATTGTGTGTGATTTGAACATAGCCAGCCTCTTTTCAAGTATAGATTCTCTGGTGAAGGGATAATACTTTGGGTCATCAAATTCCCTGACTTGTAACACATTCCTTCCCTCCAGCTCGGCTGATTTTTCACCAGGCGGCACAATGATCAACTCATCTGCATAGCAAAAGCAATAAGTGAGCCGGGCAAGCATTCGACATGTCTTGTCGTCAGAGGGGCATAGCCACCAGGAGTCGATGCCACGCTTCTTCAATGCAAGCTTAATATGTTCCAGGAATGAGCTATGGTCCTCTTCAAAGGCAAGGCAGACCAGCACCATCTCAAAATCACCGGCACCGTGAGACAAACAACGTTGCTGGAACTGGTGGAAAGTGTCCATTGACGACCCATCCTTGCAGAGGTATATTCCTACAACTTTCCGGCTCAACTCTGTCACAAATATACCCACTCCTGTATCATCAAGCTTCGTGAGAGTGGTGCAGCCCAGTAGAGAGTCGAGAGAGGGACGACCGGTGCTGCATATCTGCTCAAAGTTATCACCAAATTCTCTTCTCAAATCATCCTTCTTATGATCCCTGTAAATTTTATCCCACTTTACCCTCAGTGTTAGGTCAGCTTTATCAAGCTCACCCAAATGCTCATCAGTGAAGGGGAAAAACTCGGAGCCATATTTATTAAACTTCCAACGCGCACCCCATACTGACTGTAAAACCAAGCCTTGGGGGTTTACAACAAGAGGTACAGCAGTATCCGATTCCAAGCGGACAGAATCGCATAAACGGTGTCGGGAGGAAACATCCCAAAAGGGGATTGCGAGGGTATCATCAAGGAAACCAGAGAAGAAGTGGTTGAAAACATCCTCCTTGTCCCAATCACGAAGCATCTTGGCAGCAACGACGATCTCAAAATTAGGACGACAAGTCCCGCAGGAGCGTGCAGCCATGATGGTCCGGCATACGGCAGCACCCTGACAAGAGTAATTAGCACGCAGAGGCACGGAGACGCAACAGATAACGACATATTTGCCTCTGAGAGAATCAATGAGAACGCGATCCCCAAATTTATTAACCAGGTAAGGCCTCCGGCCAGAGTCAGACAACACGTCTATAACATCCAGATGCTTACCCTTGCTCACCTCTATAACAGATACATCAGGAATAGTGTGGGTGCTGAACTCTTTCTCCTTGTAAAAACCCTCCCCATCCTCCTCATCCTCCACATCCTCCTCATCCTCCTCCTCGTAGAGACAATTTAATGTAGTGGGAGGGGAAGGAAAGAATTTGTGCGCATCCACAAAACACGACTCCAAAGAATCAGAATCAGCATTCATGTCACCGTCCTCACACCTACCACTCTTCCTTCTCTGTCTCATGCCCCTGGAACTACACCTTCTCAAGGGCATACTGTTTATTTCAATCGAACAAACAAACAAACAAATAAAAGCCATACCTGTGGGACTAGCATCCAACCCAGTATCGTAGTAATTAGAAAGAAGTATAAGCGTGTCCAGGATTACCTTAAACCTGTGGGATGAAGAACACTGCTTCTTCTTCTTTTTCTTATTCTCCTCCTCACCATTCGAAACCTGCCCAGTTTGGGGAAAACCATGGCCGTCTTCCATGATCTAACATCCATCCACCAACATACTAGTATTATTTTATAACTAATTCAAAACTTTAAAAAAAACAAAAACAAACAAACAAACAAAATCGAAGCTCAAGTAGTATACAAAAAGGGAGCAATGTCAGTCTAAGAAAATCCAAGCATATACATAAATAAAGAAATAAAATATTATTAGATCAATGACAAGTTGACAACAGCACACCTTCTTTTCCTTGTCTTTGGAGACTTGGACTTATGGCTGCTGTTGATCCTTGAGCTACACCTCCTCAACATCATCATCTTGCTCAATCAGTCAATCAATCCCACCTACATCCACTATACTCCTATACACTATATGTATATATGCAGACCAAATCAATAAAATCGAGTGGTTGAATGAATTTACACAGACACAAATTAACTCAGTTAGAAACGTACGGTGAGGATTAGGGGTGTTCATCGGTCCGGGACAGGACCGGACCGGACCGGACTGAAGACCGAAATGAGAAAAAATAAAGACCAAAGATCGGACCTATAAGAAATGAGTCTTAGACCGGTCCGGACCGAAATTATTTGGAACGAACCGTTAGGGACCGAAAGACCAAACTTTTTTTAAGTTCTAAAATTTTGTATAAGCAAAATACCACAGTTGACAAAGATGCATGGAATCATAAAACTCAACAAAGATGCATCACAAAAAGTAATTTGCAGCATCCATGACAAATATGCATTACACAAAAAAGTAATTTGCACCAAAAAAATGAAACCACGGAACTTGAAGCAAACAAAAAGTAATCTGCTGCATCCATTCACAGAACTTGCAGCAAAAACACCACAAATGTAAATGCACCCAGAAAAAAAGTAATTTGCATCCATCCATTCACCAAAAAAAAGCAATTTGCAGCATCCATGATAAATTTAGAGAGCCAAGATATGGGGACTTCATTCACCAAGGACTCCATAGTCCAATTTGTAAGTAAAAAAAGTGGACAGTGGACATCACTCAGTTTGTGTTCAACACAAAGGCTCATCCCATTCCCATCAAACTAAATCCATTCCAAACAAGCATGATTCCATAACTGTGGGCATGAACATACTATACTGTAGTTATGAAGCAGGTAATGGAATTGGAAATTTTACCCTTTTGAGAAGCCTCAACACTCCACTCCAGATCTCCAGCAATTTATAACTTCCAAATTTCTCAGCAATTTCCACAATTTAGTTGACAATCGGATAGAAAGAGAAATACAAAACCGTGCGTCCGTGCGATTGTGACAAGGCCGGGAATCTTTAGTCGGAGAAGATGACGGAGAACATGGGGTCGATTTTAGAGGTAGAGGGAGTGGGCGACTTCGATTTCAGAGGGAGACAACACGATGGTGTGCGAGTGTCAAACAAAAAATTTACAAAATTAACAAACTTACCTTAAACTAATGGTTTAAATAATGGTATCAAATAATTGAAAAATAAAATATCATTTATAAATTTTCCATATACTATTGCGTAAATGATAGTCGTCTCTTATTCAAAACTATTATTTCTACCCGTGCCATGCACGGGTTCGGACAAAATTTTTTCTGATTATACAATATAGATCTTGATTTTTATTTTTGAATACTATTCCGATGTCAAATATAAATGATATAGGTTTGATTATCTCTACAAATCTAAATATTTTCTCCCTGTATAAATTCAAAAATATATTAATACAAAAAGTAATAGTGATTCAATGATTCTTTTTCCTCACATTAATTTAAAAAACCTAAATTACTGACTTTATAATTATATACTTCATCTGTCCCTTAGTATTTGTCCACTTTTGACTTTTTTATCAAAATTAGTAATAATATAATGATATTAGATATTGTTACAATCTTCTATGCATAAATTTATGTCGTCTCATAAAATATCATCCTATGAAATTTCTTCTCTATTCAAAATTTTTTAATTTTATGTATAAACATTTTGAATTGTAACACAATATAAGTATGCATGTAATGAGTAAATCATAAGTTACAATATAAGATTATTTTGATTGAAATAGTAAATCAAGTTACCTAGACAAAGTATAAAAGTCTTATTAAATCTTTTTTCTAATTTTTTTATTTAAAATATTCAATATTTTAAAAATAGTCAAATTCTATGTAAATACTTTTATTTCATATCATAATTAGTCATCTTACCATTAACCTGTTTCTAATCTAGATCTCCATTATAATAATTATAATTTTATCCCAATTGTGCATTTAGGGCATCTTAATGTTGTGTTCCTCTATTAGGCACTCATGTTCACGCTAGTAAATTTTGAATGAGGATGACCTCGCCTTCAATCCCCCACTTCATATTTATGTTGATTTTTGATAAAATTCATGTATGAAAAATACATGATTCGTTTTTTTGCAAATACTGTTTTGTTGTATATATCTCATGCGAGTACTTTTTGTGACTTCAATGAAGTCAAAAGTGAAATACCTATAATTATTTTAAAATGTTTTTGTAATTTTTCTTTGTGAAAACCCTTGCAACTATATTTGTTTTGCTGTTAAAAAAATAAATTCATATCAAGTGAAGACAATTTTGGATGTTTACATGTGATTGTTTTTACATGATAATTTTTTAAAGTTTTATGTGAAAAATGTAACTATTATTTTAGAAGTTGATTTTAAAAATATATACTATTATTTTAATTACTCCGTATTTTAGAAGTTGATTTTATAAAACAATTTATTAAAAAATGAATTTTAGTTCTATTTTAATTGGGAAAGAATACTACGAAGTATTATAAAAAAATTAATTTTCCTATTTCATAAATAATTCTATTCAAAGATTTCTTACCATAACGATAATTTCACATTTTATACGTTCTAAGTTAGGTGGAATATTAGATGTAAAAACAAATGCAATTTTTTATAGGTGACGAAATATTTTATTTATTAGGTGTTAATATTTAAATAAATATTATCAAACTAACTTCATTTATTTAGATGTACCATAAAGAAATACTATGTATAAAATTTATTTATAAGTGAAGACATATTATCATAAAATATTATCAATCTTTTTTTAATAATGAAATATTATAAAAGATTATGTGAACTTGTAACAAAAATTACCCTTGCTTGGATGGCTAGAAATTCAACCGAATGTCTAGGTGGTTTTGGGTTCAAATCCCCATGCCCCACATATGCATTTTTTGATAAAAAATGGAAGAAAAAAAACTGGGCAACTGGTTCAATCGGCGAGTTCTTATCAGTTTGATCGCTTCACGGTCCAAATCAGCCGGTTTGGTCTTATTCAGTTTTTAAATACGTGGCAGATGACTCATAAAAAATTACCAAATAGACTTGCCACGTGTCAACATTCTATGAGCCCGAGTCTCAAATATTATATAATATAAAGGATTTCTTAATTTTATGTATAAACATTTTGAAATTCTAACACAATATAAGTATGTACTATATAAATCGTAAATTACAATGTAAGCTTATACTCCGTATTGATTAAGATATTAAACCAAGTTAACAAGATAAAATATACTCCCTCCGTCCAGAAATAATCTTCCCACTCTACGTTTTTTTTCGTCCGGAAATAATCTTCCCATTCTACGTTTTTATCACCATTCTTCCAAATATACCCTTCATCCCCTCCTCTTTTTTCCGTTTCTTCTTCTTTTTCTTTTCCTTTTTCCCTGTTCGTTTCTCTGTCCTCTCTCTCCCCCTCTCCCCCTTCATTTATTTCACCTCCAAGTTTTCTTCCACCACCACCTCCTCCGTCTTCCTCCTCGTGTTCTTCTTCTTTTCTTTTTTCTCCCCTTTCTTTTCTCGACTCAATCTAGTCATCATCTTCCCTATCTCTCCCCTTCCTCCCTTCCTTTTCTTTTTTTTCTCGTTTTCTTCTTCTTCTTTTTCTTGAAGCAGTTGTTTTTTTAGATCTGGATCGAAATATTACGATTGGCACTGCCTATTGTTATTTGATTGAAAATTTGAGCAGAATGTAGATTGAAATTGTGCCCTTCATCAATCCAGCGCATAAAAGATCCTAGACCGCTGTAGTTGGGATCTAGAGATCTGTTTATGTGGAAAGGGATTCACGGCAGAGGAAGCCTTTGCCGGCTTCCGATGTGCATCCTCCGATCAAGAATTTGAGGAGATGAATTGAATTTGGGGCTGATTTGCACAGAGAAGGGTAGGGGTATTTTGGCCAAATTGTACACAAAGTCAACTTCTCATAAAAATGAGGAAAAGTCAAATTGGGAAGTTTAATTCCGGACAGAGGGTGTAAGTCTTATTAAATCTTTTTTTTCTATTTTGTTTGTTTTAATTATTCAATTCAATATTTTAAAAATAGTCAAATAATTGCATAGAAATACTTTTATTTCATATAATAATTTGTCATATTACCATAAACAAAAGTTCTACTTAAGATATGCATTGAGTCAATCTCATAGTATACATATTATCCATTTATCTAAAAATAAAGTACATAATCATATAATTCTCTTAGAAAAATATAATCTTAAGTCACCTAATTATAAATTATAATTTTGTAAAATTTGCAGTAAATAGACTAAAACATAATGACTTTCCTAATATAGGACTTAAACTTTTTTATTCTCTAAATAGTACTTAATAATGACCTATTGAGAAAAATAATGTCGAGCAATGATGAATATTTATTTGAATAATGACAACTTCATAATGACCAAAGGTCATATATTGAAAATAAAAACATATGGTCCTATATTAGAAAAGTTATTATGTTTTAATTTTATTTAGGTAAATTTCTCTATAATTTTATTTGAGTAATCTCAAAATAGTCTTTTCGAATGAGGTATTTTCCGAAATCAGTGTTATTATGATGTATTTAGAATGTAATAGGGACTTTAGATCTCCCCCAATATTCAATGTAATTTTTCTTTTTAGAAATATTGTCAAAACCGAGTTCTTGAGATTTCCAATAAATTTGTGATATTTCTTTAAGCGTTTTGATGCCTGAAGACTTAATCAAATTCGGTGATATGGAAATTGGATATCATGATCGGAAATGTCACAGACAAGTAAGGATTTCTCAAAACAGATGAAAATCCTCTGATTCAGAAGACTACATGAGAACCGGATGTCTCGCTACAACCCGCTGTAGGCTAAGTCGGAAGACTAGCGCGGATCTCTTTCTCACCCGGAAGACTGAGAATGACTCTTCCGGATTTGTCAGCCAAGAACCGGATGCCTCAAATATCGGAACTCTCAGAACTGGACAAGTGGGAAAAGACTTGGAAAATTATCTAAGTCTTGAATGAAGAAATTCTACCCGTTGGTAAGGAAAAATCAATCTCTTGATTTTCAACGGCTAGATTGAAGATAATTATGCTGATTCAAGAACAAATGACTCGAAGACAAAGTCTGAACCTCTAAAATTGAAGAGCCTATCCAGAATTCTTAAACAAGCACTAGAAGACAAACAGAGTAAAGTGCTACAGTCCAGAATTCTTGAACAACAGCTAGAAGACAGATTCTGTGGAAAGTGGAATCACTTCTCAAACAATTGGGTATCTCCAAACACCCACTTCAACAAAGAATCTTCAAATCACAATCTTCATTCAAAATTGAAGCCAGCAAATGCAACGGATAGTCTATTATGATTCAACGGATAGATTATCCAATCCAGCTATAAATAACATCCTTAGAAGACTGGAGAAAGTATGAATGATGAGATATAACAACACAACGAAGCAATCTCTAATAACAAAGCTATCTCATTCACAGTTAGCCCAAAAAGCTTGATAAAGAGAGATTTCTAAACTCCTTATCCAGAAGCAAACTTCTCCTCCTTCCAAAGAGCTATAGTGAACACTTGAAGGTCTCCTTGCCTCAAGTACCACATCACGTTGAAGGATACAACTTTTGATCAAACTTATTGATTAAAAAGGGGGTAGGCCAACTTTGTTACAAGTTGATCTTGCAAGTCCAATTGTTCGGAACTTGCAGTTGTTGAAGAAGCGTGACCTTCGAAGGAACAACAAAGCCAGCACGAGTGCAGTAGCAACATTGGCCTTGCAAAGATATACCGTGCAGAAATTCACACAAGTGTAATTGTTGGTTCATTTTTCAACAACCAACTACATAGTGGATTTTGAGGACGTAGAAGGGTTACCCCACCTTCGAACCTCGTTAAAGTTTGTGTGTCTCTCTCTTTTATCTTTACATTTACTTGCAATTATATTAACTATGAAAACTAACCCATCCATATTGATTACTGCTCACTCTACCCACCAAATTCCACACACAATCTAAATTTCACAAGAACTCTAGATTAACACTCTTTTTTACGTTTTCAAAAGAAACGAAAAAGGTTTTCAAATTTGTAACAAAGTCTAACAAACCAGTCTTCTCTAAAGCCACAGAAGAACAAGTGGTTCTCACTTCTGAAGCACAAGCTGATTTGGAAGCAACAGCTGAGGATTTCCAAATCTTTCTGGAAACCTCACCTGCTTTTGAAATGGTTCTGACTGAAGCTGTTCAAGAGAAGGCAACCTCTCCCCTACAAGTCCTTGAGATTCTCACAACTGCATGTGAGATCTCCAACCAGCCAGAACTTGAGATCCCGGAGAAATCAGCAGAAATTCCGGAGTAGTCAACTTTTCCAAAAACAAATAAAGAGGAGCAAGCTGTAGAAGTCCAAAGGAATTCTGGAGAAGCTGAGAAGAAAACTCAAATGGCAGAACTGGAGGTCTCTAAAACTCCAATAGCCATTTTTGAAGAACAGAATGAAGCTGAAGATAGTGACTCCCTCCCTAGATATATATCAAAATTTGCGCTTGATGAAGCAGAAGGAGAGTCTAAGAGAACACTGAAGATTACTGATGAAGAAGATGTACAAGAAGATGCTGAATCTCTTCCTATGCAACTCTTCCAAAGAACACCCTCTTCTCATCAGGTAACCAACTTTCATTTTCATAGCTCTTCCACCCCTACCCTTCCGGATGAGATACCGGAAATCTGGACAAAGAAAGTCCAAGGGCTGTTTGATTCAGCCCTAGCATCTCAACATGCCTCCTTTAGGCAAGAGATAGAGCAAATGGAAGCCAGGTACACCAAGCTGATAGAGAAATCTGAAGAAAAACACAGCGCAAATCTCAAAGAAATAAGCAAGTCAGTGCACAAGACTCTAGAGATAATCTCTCTATTGAGTAAAACTGTGAGCAACACGATGGAGATATATGCCTCTGACAGTCATCTTCAACTCAAGGAGATTAACAAAGTCAAAGAGCAAATAGCGAGTGTCACAGTTGGTCTACAAAAGCAAATGTCCCCTCTTTAAATGGACATCAGATCAGCCTTAGCAGTGTCCTCAGCAAATCAGGTAGTGACCAAAGACTACTTGAAGGTGATCATTGATAATCAAAAGGAAGCATTCAAACTGTTCAGACTTATTGGCGCAAATTCTGGAAATCGCAAGATGGAAGTGATTCTCCAACAACACAGTCCATCTCCAATACCACAGCTCCCTATTGCAGTCAAAGAAGGAGAAGTCTCTTATATTCCTTCTCATCTGAACATGACAAATCTAATCATTGAAGCACAACAAAGAAGTCCGGAGAATTCAGCACAGCATCTATCTAGCTCAGGACTAGATGGAACAGAAGATATAGGAACAATTACTGCCCACTTCTCAAATGATGTCCTAACAGAGGAAAGACGCAACAATTTAAGGCACATCAGAGAACTCTGTGGAAACATGCAAGGCATCAGTGAGGCTGCCAGATCTTCAAAGCGCAAGAGAAACTGAAGGTTCTTTTCATCAAACCAGGGAGAAAGTATGTGAAAACACTAATTTGTTTTGATGAAAACACCTTCTTGTTTAAACATTGCTTCATTATTCCTCTTAATTGTGCATGCTATGCTTGATCATGCTTATCTCAAGTATGATATTGAATTAAAAAATAACAAATTACATATTTTAAACAACAATAAAAGATCTACAAAATTAGTAATGCCATAATTATATCATATAATCATGTGTAACTTACGAGTTTGGCATGGTACTTACGAGTTCAATTCTTTAACCATGTGCAGTAGTACCTTAGACTTTAAAAAAGACGGTAACCAATCAGGTATGGAGTTTGGTTCCCTCCCCCCACCCCCTTCCCCCCACCCAAACTTTGAGGAATTAAAATGACAACCTCAATATCCACTCCACAATACAAACCCCACAATTAGAGGGGAAAGAATGAACTTCAACAACAAATTATCTAATAAGCAGTAAAACCTAACTTGAAAATTATCTAATAAGCAGTAAATATTTTTCCCCGCCATGGAAAAATATGGGTTTGTTAACACGTACGTTTTACTAAATATATATGCATATGATAATCTAAAATATGAGCCTAACTTGAAAATTCTTGTCAATCTTCAACGAACTGCACACAAAATTCATTCAACAAAAAGCGAATCAGCTTTCATGAGGGAGGAGAAGGGAGATTGTTTAATCACCTATCACCTAGACTACCATACTAGGTGTATCTATTTGAAGTAGTATGTTGACTATTACTAGAAAGAATTTCACGATGACAGCAGTCACAGCACTAATAAGCTGACTCCCACCAACAGAAACATAACCTTCAAAGGAAAAATAGAGGTCTTCAAATGTGAAATAGTGATGATTGGGATGTGAGTTTTAAATCATTACTTAAAAACACATGAAAAACAAAATGGGCCGAGTGTGCTAGCTGCTGAGCAGAGAGGACACTATGACCTTAGTTTCCAAAGATGAAAATATATACTCCTACAAAGAAATAAAAGGCCAAAGAAACTAGCACCTCACAGCACAAACCTATGGTCATATTCAAGTCAATTCGCCACTAGAACACTTGAGGCTAAGGCAGGAAGAGACTTCAAAGACTCTTTTTCTGCATCTAATGTGTTTGCAATCAACCTCTGCCATTCACGGAGTACAGGATGTCCAAGAAGTCCCTAGGGCAGCGGGTGACATCCCAATAGCACACAACCGTACCTACAAAGACAACATGGTTGACACCATGACGAGGAAGACTTGTAGTCGCAGATGCTTCTGCCTGACATCACACCAAAAATTTAACTTCTTATACTCATCGGCAAACCACTCGAGTAGAGACATTTTTCTACTGAACCTCCAAATTTGCACCACCATTTTCCGGGTCCCTGAAGTTGCTCTAATTAACCTCTTGTTCCTTGTTCAAGTTTTTTATAACAACCTCTTTTGTGGTAACGCTTTTCAGGACACGTATGGTGATATCCAAGCTCTCCCACACTATAAGAGTCTCCACAGCACCCATTTCCAACACCATTAGCGTGTCAACCACCCCGAAAACATACTTCCCGCTATCCTGACTCACATCCTCCGAGAACTCCCCAGCCAACTTCTTCTCCTAGATGAACTTCACATCCCCAAGGAGCTCAATTGCCTGACTGCATCCACTCTCACCGCCATAAGAGCCACCCACTACCTTCAAACATGTCCCACTGACTGAGCTTAGTCTTAACGTCTGCTGACCCGGCGAGTATAGGACCAGAAATATTCGACTGACTGTCCCGAGGCTTAATGAAATATTTGGTGGCATGCTCAGCCGTCTTACTCAAGCATAGTTATGGCACTTCTCTTCCCCAACATGACCAAAACGACAAGCTGACTGACCTCACCGTTATGCTTCCTTGCCAAGTCAACACTGAATTTGTGAAGCACTGCTTGGGTGTGGCCACTAAGAGTACCGAAAAAGTGTTCCGTTCCCATCCATCACAGTGAGCCCGATCTTGAAACCAGAGTCGAGCACTTCCGTAGAGATTCAGCATGCAATCTGTATATATATGTATCAGTGCTTGGTCTGGAGAAATGAAAATTTGACCCCATATGCTAATCAACAGAGAAAAATCATTTGCAGCTACGAGACACCAAATATACGCAGCAGACAAGTTTGTTGCAATCAGTATGGCACGAAAACCCCTGCCTATTGTACAACAAGAACATACAATTCCGGAAAGAGGCTCCAGAAACCGCAGTACAACAAAAACAATATCACCAGTCTCAATTAAAGCTACAAGCACAATACTTGAGCAAAGTCTGTCAGAAAGCATGATCTAAATCCCAACTTCAGAAACCAAAAGATATAATTTGGAGGATATCGAGTTTACGTGACAATAATATTTTCCTCCAAATTATATAAAAAAATTTGTTATAGCTAATTTGTCAAATTAATGAAATGTGCCAAAAGATCATATGCAGTTCAATCTGAAACGGAAAAAGACAATGCAAGTAACATTGTCTTAGTGGTCAAATACATGCTATGTCTCAGTGATGGGAGCTTACTCTTTACATGGAGACTCAGCCCCTTGAGAGGGACCGACCATTCTGGAAGGAGCCTTGGCCATGCCTCCCTGATCACAGCAGCCACGCCTTCAACAGCTAGCATGGTTGACTCCATGCCAAGGAGTAGTCGCAGATGTTTCGTGGGCTCGTGTCTCGTCTGCAAGGTCCTCACAAGTCACAAGAGACTTCAAAGACTCTTTTTCTGCATCTAAGATGTGCCACATAGATTGCCATCTGCAAAATTTAAGGACTGCAGGTTAAATCAACAACAAACACAGCAAAACCAAATACCACTACATTCATCTATTTCAGAGAAAATAGGAGGCGTTCAAACCTTGTTCAGTAGTTTCAGGTTTGTGAGAGCAATTTGTTCTAACAAGAGCTGTCATGGTACCCCCGACAACGCGTGCATCAGTGCAGGCCTTGCCCCCATCCACCTGCACTAGTATACTTGAGGTTGGCATTAATGGCCACTCTGAATATTCATCCACTATCCCCTGATAACTCACCGTTATCTGAAAACCCATTCAATGATCGGATATCACCTTGTAGTCGCAGATGCTTCTGCCTGACATCACACCAAAATTTTAAGTTCTTAGAAGTAATAGATAGGGGGGCTGCCCAGAAATGACTACTTAAGACGAGCTAGAGATTCACCACCGACCTTAGGTAGTGTGCCTTCACCGCTGAAACTTTCAAAGCGCAAGAACCTGTGTTCTTTGCTTCTTGCACCTCTGACGCACTGCACCGCTTGGATTGCCATCTGCAAATTTCATGGACTGCAGGTTAAATCTGTTAGACAGGACAACCGACCAAATCAAAGCAAAGTAGAATATTTTATTAATGTAAAAAACTGTACAGGAATATCTGTGTTCACTAAATATATATAGAGAACAGACCAACATGACTTTTACTAACCAACACAACTATTACAAACCAACACACCTATTAACAATAGAAACTACCCACAACTGCCTTTTAGAAACTGCCCTATTGTTTTTTATTTAAATTAATTAAATATGTAAAAGACACTAAACGACACCACACTAATTGACTCTATACTAACTGACACAAACATCGACTCATTACCCATTCGGTTATATGTGAACAAACCCGATTAAATCTAACAAAATCAACTACAAACACAGCAAAACCAAATACCACTACACATTCATCATTTTCCTTAAAAAAAGGAGGATTTAAGATGCCAAACCTTGTTCCGTAGTTCTGGGCTTGTGAGGGCCGAGTTAGAGCCACTCCACGCCAAACTTAAGAGTCTGAAAGATTCCAACTTGGAGGAGCAGAAGGCCAGGGTTGAAGAGTCTGAACAGGCTGCAATCAGAGCCTGGGAGGAATCTTCTGGAAGGTTTGTTTGAGCTTGATTAGGCCCGTTTTCACGGCCTTGAGCATTGAAAAATTGGATGGATTGTAAATATTTTGGCCTGCTATGATGCGGCCTGGTTTTTTTTATTTTTGTTTGGCCTTTACTAAAGCCATGTGGACGTATTTCAATTTAGATGACTTCCCGTTTCCATAGAGCAATTCCTCCTAACAAGAGCTGTCACGGTACCCCCAAGAGAACGGGCACCAGTGCAGGCCTTTCCTCGATCAACCTGCACTGGTATACTTGAGGTTGGCATTAATGGCCCCACTCCCAGTCTTCATCCACTTCACCTCTATCGTCGGAATAGTCACCATCATCTCCGAAATCATTGCTTGTAGTGCAGAATTCCTCCAATGCCACCAAACCCAAAGCATAACTGTCACCCTTCTTGTGAATTGTTTGTCACGAGTTCCAAGCAACAACCAAACTTCTTATACTCATTGGCAAACCACTCGAGTAGAGACATTTTTCTACTGAACCTCCAAATTTGCACCACCATTTTCCGGGTCCCTGAAGTTGCTCTAATTAACCTCTTGTTCCTTGTTCAAGTTTTTTATAACAACCTCTTTTGTGGTAACGCTTTTCAGGACACGTATGGTGATATCCAAGCTCTCCCACACTATAAGAGTCTCCACAGCACCCATTTCGAACACCATTAGCGTGTCAACCACTCCGAAAACATACTTCCCGCTATCCTGACTCACTTCCTCCGAGAACTCCCCAGACAACTTCTTCACTAGATGAACTTCACATCCCCAAGGAGCTCAATTGCCTGACTGCATCCACTCTCACCGCCATCAGAGCCACCCAGTACCTTCAAACCTGTCCCACTGACTGAGCTTAGTCTTAACGTCTGCTGACCCGGCGAGTATAGGACCAGAAATATTCGACTGGCTGTCTCGAGGATTAATGAAATATTTGGTGGCATGCTCAGCCGTCTTACTCAAGCATAGTTATGGCACTTCTCTTCCCCAACATGACCAAACTGACAAGCTGACTGACCTCACCGTTATGCTTCCTTGCCAAGTCAACACTGAATTTGTGAAGCACTGCTCGGGTGTGGCCACTAAGAGTGCCGAAAAAGTGTTCCGTTCCCATCCATCACAGTGAGCCCGACCTTGCCACCAGAGTCGAGCACTTCCGTAGAGATTCAGCATGCAATCTGTATATATATGTATCAGTGCTTGGTCTGGAGAAATGAAAATATGACCCCATATGCTAATCAACAGAGAAAAATCATTTGCAGCTAGGAGACACCAAATGTACGCAGCAGACAAGTTTGTTGCTATCAGTATGGCACGAAAACCCCTGCCTATTGTACAACAAGAACATACAATTCCGGAAAGAGGCTCCAGATACCGCAGTACAACAAAAACAATATCACCAGTCTCAATTAAAGCTACAAGCACAATACTTGAGCAAAGTCTGTCAGAAAGCATGATCTAAATCTCAACTTCAGAAACCAAAAGATATAATTTGGAGGATATCGAGTATACGTGACAATGCCAACTTCAGAAACCAAAAGATATAATCTCAACTCTGAATTTTCATCCACTATCCCCTGATAACTCGCCATCATCTGAAAACCCATTCTATGATTGGATATCACCTTGTAGCGTAGAGTTCCTCCAATGCCACCAAACCCATGCTAGAACTGTGACCCTTCAGGTGAATTGTTCGTCGCAATCCCCAAGCAACAACCGAATTTCTTATACTCATCTGCAAACCACTCCATTAGAGACAGTTTTCTCCTGAATCTCCAAATCTGTACCACCTTTTTCCGGGTCCCTATAATAGCTCTAATTAAACTATTATTCCTTGTTCAAGTGTTTTAAAACAACCTATTTCGTGGTAACGCTTTACACTTTGCAGGACATATATGGGGATCGGCCATTTCTTGAAAGAGTCTTGGACCGCCTCCCTGATCACAGCATCCCAGTCTTCACCCCCCCCCCCAGCAGAGTAGTATCCCAACAAGGAAGACAGATACCCGTAGACGCTCTGAATGCCCCGCTGGTAGCATAGAATCCCTCCAATGCCAACAAACCCACAGCAAAACTGTGACCCTACTTGTAATTCACTAGTGGAAACACTTTTCAGGGGTAATATCCAAGTTCCCCCCAACAATGAGAGTCTTCATAGCACCAATCACCAACGCTTTCAGCATGTCAACTCTCATCAACCCCGAAAACATATTTACCAGAATCCTGACTGATCTCCTCAAAGTACTTCCCAGTAAAATCTCTCTAGGATGAACTTCACACTAGCAAAGATCTCAGCCGACAGCTCAATTGCCTGATTGAATCCATTCTCCCTGCCATAAGAGACATCCACTGCATTCAGTATCTTTGCCTGCAGTCGTGGATCAAACATGTCAGACTGACTGACTGAGCAGTGTCCTGAAGTCCGCTGACCCGGCAATATAAGCCCAGAAACATTAGGCTGGCTAGTGCGAGAATTGATGAAGAACTGGGTGGCAAGTTCAGGAGTCTTCCTCACATAGTTATGGCGCTTCTCCATCCTAAGACAAGCAAACTGAAAAGCACTGGCCTCACATCCGTGCTTTTTGAGAAGTCAACACTGAATTTGTGAAGCACTTCTCTAGTGTTGCCCCACTAAGAGTCGCAAAAAAAATGTTCATTAAGAGATGCATTGATGGGTTTGAGAGTCGCAAAGTCAATAGTAACTTTCTTCTCCTTTCCATCTTCGGTCATGGAGGTCCCTAGGTAAAGCAAAAGTCCATTGGACGGCACTTTCTTGTAAAGCTTCAACCTTTGCTGCGCAGAAGTGATTGCACCAAGCACAGATTGGCGATTGACTCTGCTTTTGATATAGGATGCAGTACCAAATTCATCACCAAGCATTTCTTTCACTCGAGATATTTGATCTCAACGAATAATGATATCATGATGGTGCCATTTCCTCCAGCAGCTTCCAAGCCTTTGATGAGCTTCTCGATCTTCCAATCTCAATGCTCTTGAGTCCTTTCACCATCACCAAATGTCAGTCATTTTGACAACAAATCAAAAGGTTCCAACAACCAGGTGAAAAACTATATATCAATGCATACCTAGAGATGGTGAAAAACACTACAGTCATAAGTAAAATTTATGCAAACACGGAGCAAAATTCATTTCAGAATAAGCAATAATGTTTTTGAGATCAACATACAATTTAGAGCTCTAAAGTTGCTTTCTCTCACATTATTTACTTTTCCGATTTTAACTAAAAATTTGACATATAGCTTGAATTTACATACCGATGGGGCAAACCACATCCAAAAATGTAAATTAAGGGAATTAATGCAATAAAAAATGGCATGAAAACCTGCCTACACAATGAAAAAGACATGCAATCATCTTGGTTGAATTTTTGTGTCTAGTTGCTAGATTCCCAAATTCAGAATTTCAGATACATAGTAGTATTACCTAGATTTAGACATTAGTTGATATCACACTAGAACGTATGTATACGCCAATAACAGAGTATGAACAAAACAAACCATACACAATTTAGGTACACTTACTTAATCTATCGAGTTCTTAGATACACGTAGTCTTCGGCTTTGCATCCAAGAACCCGCGGCTTTTTCCGAACATATTCTGGTCTCGGAGCTTCGGTTCCATCCGCATACGTCCTGAGCACAAGATTGTAAAAGAAGAGCTCGCTGCCAACTTTCTTGCACCCGAATCTCGGAAGCCATCCGGGGAGGAGTTGATCGAGCACATCAAGTACAACTGGCACCGGAAAACCACGGTAATCATCACCAAGTACCGAGGGTCTTTGAGGTGCTTGTACGTGACTACATACAGAGAGTAGTCTGAGGACTACAATTCAAATGTGAAAACAGTTAGGGATTATATACTATAAAGTGAATTTGAAATTTTCAACAAAACTTGCATTTTAAAACGATGTTAGTAGCAAATTTGTAAACTTAATCACACAATGTTCGAAATTAATTCAGCAAATGGATGTCAATAGGGATGTCATTATATGACATTTGGATCCAGTTTCCTCAACACAGTGTGAAGCAAATGTGATACAAAGATCTACTAAACAATGTTCCACACTTTTATTTGCATACCCATTCAAAAATTACATGCATTTAATTATATAATACCTCCATCTCTCTATTCTCTTTCATTAATTATTAGGAAACTAATAAAACATTGGAGGAAATAAAACTTAGGGCACCATTATGAGGATATGATTAAAGAGGTGAATAAAATATGGAAAATACTCTAAAAATAAAAGGGGAAAGTAATAAAGCAAGAAAGGGAGTATAACATGCTTGACAAGTATAAATTAGAGTTTTCACAACACGGTTTCTAAATGTTAAAATGTAAGTTACTAAAATAAATAAAATAGAGATATAAAAAATTGAAAAATAAATTTAGCTTTTGAGAAATTGGTGAATAAACATAAAAAGAGTTATTCAAATAAAATAAACAGAGTTTTCTTATCAAAAATAAAGAGTTATTGAAACATATACAAAAAATAGTAGTCTTCTGGTATATTATAAATAAAACGTAAGAGAAACCAAGCTAGGCTCTTCAATTTGTTCAACTTTTGTATTTTTATTGATCAATGATTGATTTATTTCAGAATAATACAAATTTACTAAAGAAAATAAAACTTCATGTATCTATTCAAAATGCATAGTTTCTATCCATTTCACAAAGGTAAGAGATTCACCATGTTAAAGTTGAGCAAAAATCAAACAAAAAATATTCTACAACTATGCTTATCATGCGAGCTTAATTGTAACATTTTTTGTTTCATTTTTGTCAAACTCTACTGTGGGAAATTCTTCTCCCTAAACCTACATGCAAAAGGCAATTGTAGAGATAAAAGAGAAACGTAGCTAGTAAATCTTTGAATTAAAGAAGCACTTACCGAGTCTTTCAATCAAAGTTTTCAGTCCAAGCTGGTTATACTGATTAACGGCAAGTCCTAGACAACCGTTATCAGTCAAGCCCCCACGTCGTGAATGTTTCCGCAACTGTTTTTTGGGAAATCTCTTATCGCCTGTGTTGCTGAGTGATGGCCAAACAAATCTCAACTCCTAAAGAAAAAAGACATCAAGTAAGCTTACTCGAGAACGGCGCAATCGCATAAATGTCTCCAAAAACAATTTCTTACCAACTTAGTTGGCTTCTCAAAACTCACTTTACCCTCCCATGACGCCGTCCTCTGTTTAATGAAAAAATACATGCTTATATTGCAAATTAACATATGCAACAGAAACATGCAACACAATAAATAGAAAAGCTTAGGGGAGAAGAGAAATACCTCACAATAAACATTATGAGTTGTGAGGCGCTGGTGGTGGCGTTCATGAATTCGATTTTCAGGTTTAATATGACCATTCAAGAGATAAAACGCAACTGGGTAAGTGTATTCTATACGAAAAGCAGGTTTGACCTACATTTTAAAACAGTACATAAATAAAATAATATTAATAAATAATAAAAAAGATACCAGATTTTAAAAGAAAAAACTGCATGAAAAAAGGCATACGTCATAGAAAAGGGAGAGCTTATGAGTTTTAGAAGGACCCGCCGAAGTAGAACTATGAACTAGTTCTTCTCTACGGTTTTTGTTTGGGCGTATCTCCATTTACCTAATCATAAAAAAATTAGTTTAATAAAAAATTACCATTACAGCAGCAAAATAGTAGCTACTACAGAAACAACAATTTTAGTAATTACTGAAGTAGAGAATTAGTAAATATAGAATATACAGCCCTATGTTCAGACTTCAGAGAATTTGCAACTATATATTTTTAGCAGACTATCTCAACAACATGATGAAAATAGAGTGTTGTATAAAACGCTATACTACATTTTGACCAAGTTCAACATAATGTCCAACTCCACATTATATATTCAGTCAAAATCCAACTACTCCAATTACCTCCAAATAGCTTGGGAGATAAAACAAAAAAAAATTAAAAGTATAGAACATAAAAGGCCATATACAAAAAAACTTGAGGTTTTCGCTCTTACTTGCTAAAATTCAACTACATGTGGGAGAGGAGAAAATGAGAAAGAATCACAAAGAGAGAAGTGTTCAAAGAGCATGATGCACTCTTGGCTGCATAAAAGCGAGCCATGTTTAAAAAGATAGTGAAGTAAATTTCAGAAAATCCAACCAAATGCACGAGCATATACCATGGCAACCCCACATGTAACAACATCGCCCAATCAAACCAACAATATATAGAATGATCAAAAACAAAATTTCTAAGATATCCCATTCATATTGTCGATATGGGCAATCATGATAGCCATCACACAAAAAAACATCATAAGACAATCATGGGTGCTGGTAAAGTAAACAACAATTTAACTTGTCGTAAACAATCAACGTTGTCTCGTTCTCAATCAATAATAGAGACCCTAGGACGCATCTACAGCATGATGTATCGTTAAAATTGAACACTATCAACAAGTGAAAGACACACCAACTGGATTGAAAGCCAAATGCACAGCCAAATATGTTCAAGGAATAAATAGCTGAATGGGTAACCAATCTGATCAATTGACACAATTCCGCACAGAGAACAAGTTTGAATCAAACCCAGTTTCAAAAACAAATCACACAACAAGCATATTTTAAAAAAACAACAAATATGAACGAATATTAACATCAATAGGAACAACATTCCCTCAAAAAAACAAATCAAGAAAAACATACCTGCACAAATATTAAGAAAGCAAGGCGGAGCAGCTAGGGGCGGAGAGACAGTAGGGGGGGGAAGAGGCGGCTGAGAATCTGATGGCCCAGAAGCATTGGCGGTCCAGCAACAGTAACTATAGAGTCGCACTAGTGTGCAGCGGCGTCCTACATTTGGGGCGGTGACGTATGGTCGGCGGTCATCCTCTTTAGCTCGAGCCAAGAATCAATTCTATTATGTCACAACGAATACTCTCAATTTCAATCAGCATTCATTTTCCGCAACGGCCTTAAAACAAAACGGCAAAAGAAACAGGCTAAGAAGGAGCAATCCCGGCGAAGAGGAGAACCCTAGGTGCGGCACGGCGGCGTAATAGCTGGATTGCCGCAAGGCTGCGCGCGGGAGAACGGCAACCTAGGTGCGTAGAGGAGCTACCAACGCTGCTAAACCCTAGGTCCAGCGACATAAAGATAAAGACGAAGGAGGGCTCCTGCATATTCCATAAGCTTCGAACTTCGAAGTACTCCGTATTTTTTATGAGGTATTTTGGTTTGAAAAAATGTGTTCCATCCAAAATTTATTTTTGAAATCCTGCTAATGTGAAATGTTGTACTATCTAGTACTATCTACACTATCTCTAATTATTTTCTCATCATTTTTTGCAAAGAATAGTACTGAATCATATTTTCTAAACTATAGGAGCATTCGTGCTCATTTTTTATTTTTGATCAACAAGGAGTGGGAGACCCTGAGCTAGTAGCCTCGACAAATGGTGGTAGAGTGTCGCGTAGTAGTGACCCTCATCATATCATCAGTATTCAATGTTTCCAAATCTGCAGTAGGGACCTCAAACGTTCTCCAAGATATGTCTTGAAAAGCCCCAAGGTTAGCAAGATGATCCGCAACCTTATTTTGTTCACGAAAGATGGCTCGAAAGCGGATTTTATGGAATCTGTCGCTCTAGCTTTTTATCGCTATTAGGGTATTGCTGATGGGTCCCCTCAGACTCGTCGATGTTGTAATCCAATTGACAACTTCCCTAGCGTCACACTGCACCTCAAGATCCCTCACTCCTCTACCCCAAGCCCATTGAATGCCTTTCTCAATGGCTTTAGCCTCGATTTCCTCGATATTATTTGGCCTAGTTCTGTAGGAAAAACCACCAAGCCATTCTCCTCTATTGTTGCGATTGACTCCGCCGCACCCCGCCCTATTAGCCATAACTTTCATGCTTCCATCAACATTAAGAGTGAATTCATAATCAACTGCCAGATTCCATTTTAGTAGAGGATCCCTTGTATTCATCAAAGAGGGGGTTGATACCTGATTTTTGTCGAATGCCCTTTCAATCTCAGCGATTGATCCCTTAATCCAAGCCACTTTATATTGGGTGTCAAGATCATCCCCACCGAAGGCAACGTTGTTTCGCCACCTCCAAATCCACCAACATGTGACGGCAAAAGTGGCAGCCCAATTATTGTTGTAGTGTCTGCCTTTCTTTCTCCTTAAATTGTCGCCAACCCATCTCCTCATTTCCGTGTGATCTCCATTACAACCCATACCTCCATTGTCAACAAAATTCCAAATTTGTCTTGCTTTTGGACAAGTTTTAAAGATGTGAGAGGTGGTCTCATCGTTGCCGCAAAGTGGGCAAGAGCTATCTGAAGTGAGTCTTCTTTTCTTTCGCTCGGCATTTCCCATCACTTTCTCATGGCAGATAGTCCACAAAAGAAGCTTCATCTTACTTGGCACTTTAATCTTCCAAATCATAGACCACACTTCTTCCTACACTAGCAAAACCCCTAATTAGATTATAAGCCGACTTAATTGAAAACTTACCTATAGGATCATGCTTCCAGTAGAATTCATCAGTGGTGTTAGTGTCCAACTCCATAACCTGGCACTGCATAAAAGAAATAATGTTAGGTGGGAGGTTTGGAATTTTCTCCCAATTCCACCCATGAGAGCCATTCCAAAGTTCAGCAACAGTGGCATGCGGGTCATGTCCGCTGCCAAAATCTTGCACCAAACCGCAAAGTGGTTTTTCACCGATCCAAGTGTCAAGCTAGAACCTCGTCATTTGCCCATTATGAACGCGGCAGTGAATGCCAGCTTCAATCATAGGCATAACTGTCATGATTCCTCTCCAGGCATTAGACGCTCCCTTCCTGTACATAAAAATATTTTTCCCACCTTTCCCTTTAGCATATTTAGCAATCAAGATTTTGGACCCAAGAGACTCTCCTTCACTGAGTAGTCTCCAACCAAGTTTGGCAATGAAGGCTTGATTCATTTCCTTGGCAGTTTTGATCCCCAAGCCACCAAATTCTTTTGGCTTTGTGACTTGTTCCCAATTTACAAGGTGGCACCTCTGGTTATCACTTGTGCTGCCCCATATAAAACCCCTCACTTTTCTATCAATAGCTTCCAAAACCCCTGTCGGTAGCATCGCTGATTGCATGGCATAGTAAGGAATGGTGGTAAGTACGGACTGGGCGAGAATTCTACGACCGGCCATTGTTAAGAGCTTGGTTCTCCAGCCTTCCAATTTTGCATCTAATTTATCAAGAATAGCACCAAACATGTCATTTGTGACTCTTCCATGGATAGAAGGGACTCCTAAGTATTTTCCAAGGTCATAGGACCTGGGGATATTAGCAAGTTCACTGATTCTCCTCGCCTCTTCAATCGAAACATGCTTTGAAAAAAAATTTGGGACTTGTGGAGACTGACTTTCTGTCTAGAAGCTCGGCTAAATTTATCAAGGCACTATTTAATGATCTTGATTTGATCTTGTGTGGCCTCTGCAAAAAGTACTAAATCATCAGCAAAAAAGAGATGAGAAAGTGTAGGACCAAACCTGGACGAGCGGATTCCCTTCCATTTCCCTCTCTGAACAGTGTCTTTAATCAGGTGATTCAGTCTTTCCATGCATAAGACAAATAAGTAGGGCGAGATGGAGTCTCCTTGCCTGATTCCTCTCGAAGGTTGGATCACCTCAAGCTGCTTACCATCCCAAATCACACTTAATCTAGCAGTTTCCACACAAGCCATAATGTTCCTTGAACAATCCTTGCTCAACCCAATTTCATTTAAGGTGCTCATTTCTTATTTTTTAGTTAATACGAGTATTTTTTCTTTTTTTTAATATTTTTTTTCCATTTCCTAGAACTTTTTCCAAACTTTCCTTTATATTTTATAATGTTCAAAAGAATTCAAAATTCTGTGTTTCAAATAAAAAAATATTGACGTACACCTCTTCTATCTGAAATTAAATATTTTCACTTTTTGTTTTTTAATAATTTTTTGGAAAGTAGAAAAAGAAAATCTAGAATAATTAAATAAAAATATTGGAAAAATCAATGAAAAAATTAAATTATGAAAAAAAGAGTCTTATACAAAAAATAAGTTTTGGGCACGAAGAACAATTTTTTATCCAAAAACAATTATTCTATTCCTCATTTTTTATATTTTTTCATTTTAATTTTTGTATAGTTTTTATTTTTATATAATTTTTTATGTCCAAAAAAAGATATTAGACGTATAGATGCAGTAAATGTTAATTCAAAAAAAAAAAAAATTTTACGAACATTATAAAAAATCATTTTAAAAACAAATTTTAAAAAAACCTTGATTAATAAACAAAAAAATAAAGGAAAATGGAAAAAACAAACAAGTGAGAAATAATGAGGGGCAAATGATCAGAGGGAGCATGGTGCAACGTTTTGTAACAATATAGACTTCAAAATAAGTTTTGAAAACAAGGTTGGTATTGGTGCTTATTTTGTAAACCACAGAGGATCTGACCGACTGAAAAGATAATAGTAGCGCGCCGTACTCGTTGACATCCGAGGAAGCCATTATTGCTTCGGTCTTTGCTGATCTGTTCAGTCTCTCGGAGCGATTGGGGGAGATGATTGTGAACTCTAGTGGGAACTAGAATTTGAACTCTTCCTAGTTATAATAATTGTGCATTTTAATTTTGATGTGATTGGGCCACGTGCCTCAAGTTTAGTTAAAAATATTAACAACTAATGAAATACGGAGTATCTAAAACTAAGGGGGGTGTATTCAATCCGGATTCTGATAGATTTTTTTGGATTCTGAAAATCCGTGGGTATTCAACTCAGAATTTTGAAAGTCATTTAAAATCCGGGTGTATTCAATTCAAACTTTAAAAAATCTTTCTAAATATGATGGTATTCAAAAATTAATGGATTTTTAAAGATTTTTAAAATTGTGGATTTTGATGGATTTTCTTGCCTTGGGTATAAATACAAATCCAATTTCCAAATCCAATCAAAAGCCCTGGGATTTTGCCTTCTCATCTCGTTCTTCATTCTCTCGCGTTCGTCTCTTCTGCCAAGTCGCCGGAGCTCGGAATCCCGACGGAAGGCCTTCCTCGGCTCTGCCCGTCGCTCTACTGCTACTTCCGGGTGCTGTTGGCCGCTGCAGTCCTATCGCCGAGGAGGTCGTCGTCGTCGAGGAGGTCGTCGTTGTTGTCGAGGAGGCTGCGTCTTGTTTGCCATCAGAAAGCGGGAGGAAGACGGAGGAGAAAAAAGAAGCAATAGAAAAAGAAATAAGGAAAGAAAAAATAGGAAACGAAATGGGTTGGAAGAGAAGCACTACGGCGG